ACACAATTGAACTAAGACACAACCCCGCACCGTCTCGCTGTCTTAGAGCGCGACCAGTCATGCAGGAGTCCCCGTACCTCGACCTCAGGATGCTTCGGTCTGTAACGCCGGATGCGTGCTTCGCATGTGCCTGTACCTTGCGCAGATCTGTAGGATACAAGTTCCTCCGGTACTGAACCGCCCGGACTTGCCCCAAGGCAGGGACGCGCAGCATCCGGCTGGACACTGGCGGAGGGGGTCCCGGGGAAGGCACCTTCAGCACGACGAGAGTGCCACTTTTCAAGCGCTTTTTTCTGGAAGTCTCTGTCTCTCTCGACGCCTTCCTATGATCGATACGGAATGGCCCGGCGCAAGTGTGGCAGGCTAGAGCGTTGAACCCCTGCATCCTTCCCACCCAAATCACCATCATGTTCCTTACAGCGCTGAGAAACTTCGAGGGGCCCTCTGGCTGCAAACTAGCGGACGAATTTCCATTCTGTCCCCCCCTTTTCACCTCTCTCGGAGAAGCATCTTTCTGTTGTAGAAGTCTGTGACTAGCAGGGTCTTTGGAGACCTCCTTGCAGATGAGCGGCTTGTTAGAAAACGGCTGCCCGGCTGCATTACAAACTTTTAGGTGACAATAAGATGCCCAGAGCTTGTTCTGGTTCAACGTGACAACAAGCCGTGCGGGCCGCCACATCTCACCATGAACTTTGGAGTTGCAGCCTTATGCGAAACCACACCTTCTCCATCTCGGCATCTGCCACCAAGTCCGCCAGACCACCACCGGTGCCTCCGAAGAAAAGAAGAAAATGCAGACTGGCTCCGACTTAGCTGTGACTTAGCTGTGACTTAGCTGCGGCGATCGACTCATCAAGCTTGGGCGACGAGCCGCGGCTGGCCACTCGCACAGTTCCGGGTGCTGATCCTGCAAAGGAGTAGGCGGTGCTTGCATTCCAAACGTGGAACTACTAGTAGGATTCGCCACTTCTCAGCCTGCTGTGAGGGTCTGCACCTCAGAACACGCGGAACGCATCGGAACAGCGCAAAGTCCGCAGAACTCTGCGGAAGTTTGTGCAGGGTGGCAGACTTCGGGCATCACCACCGCGGCCATTCTGCCATTTCAAGGCGGTGCTGGCCCGGCATGTAGCCCTTTGTGGGAACTTAAGGCTTGTAGCCTTTGCTTCTGCTCTTACGTAGCTCCCTTAGCTACACAAGTGACGTTCTTGCATCTCGATGCTCAGTACGCCAGGAGGCTTCTAGGATGCGTCTGAGTCTTCTGTGCCTTGTACTGTGTTCGCAAGCAGGGAACCAAAGATGAGCACATACGTGCGCGCATGAATGTCTTTTTTGGTGAAGGTGAAGGCGTCGAGTCGAGTGTTGGGGGGGGGGAGAGGGTCTTAAGGCCCTTGGGCAGGGTTTGGGCCAGGGTTTCGGGACCCAAAGCCCAAACCCTGCTCCAATAACCCTCAAACGGGTGCCTTTATGGGCCCCGTACAAACCGTCCTTTTGTAGTCTATGTTCTGCGGTTGCGTGCGCGCGCGCTTTTAGGGCGCCCCCGCTAAAATCGTCCTTGTGTGGTACAAAAGTAGTACTACTACGTGCCTGCGCGGTTGTGCGCACACGCGCGCGCGCGCGTGCGCTCTTAGCCCCCCCCCTCCCCGTTAAATCGTAGTACAAATGTAGTACCATGTGGACCGAATTCCGCACGCTCGAATCCTCGCAAATATCCGCTCGAAACCTCGCAAATATCGCAGGGACTGATTCCGCACGCTCGAAAACCGCGCAAACATCGCAGGGACCGAATTCCGCACGCACGACAACCTAGCAAATGTCCTGGGGACCGAATTCGCCCGAATTCCGCACACTCGAAAACCTCGCAAATATCGTGGGGACCGAATTCCGCACGCTCGGAAACCTCGCAAATATCGTGGGCACCGAATTGCGGTCTCAAGAACCACGCTCGAAAATAGATATCGCGGGGACCCAATTCCGCATGCTGGAAAGCCTCACAAATATCGTGGGAACAACTTCCGCATGCTCGAAAACCTCGCAAATATGGTGGGAATGGAAATCCGCACGCATGAAAACCGCGCATGTAACTGTGGTGGGAATCGAATTGAGACATTGCGCGCCCAAAACGCAAACCCTCAACAAGACCATTCAGGAAACAATGAGAAGAAACGATCAGAAACCCAAAGAAAGCGCCAAAGCTAACGCCAGCACCCAGGTGCAGCGATTCGGACACTGAATGCCAAAACAGCGATTCCCAACGACCATGGGCTAGCAATCAGCCAACACGACCAGAATAGAAGCAGAGCGCTAAACAAACTTAGAACTTAGGTGTAGGGGTTAAGATGTTGCGCACCCAAGGCCACGTAAAAATAGAGTCCGGGGGACTGTGCGCGTGCACTTTTTTTGTGTTTTTACTCTCTCGTACTTGATAACTATCGTTCAATCTTCAGGTGATGATCTCTCTCATCTTAATTATGAAATTGCCTTTTCATTATTTGTGCGAGAACATGCTATGCATGAAGTGCTACTACGCTTCATGCCAGGCCTACATGGAAACAGCTTTTCAGATTAAGTGAGTATCCCAGTGTGTTGGGCTATGGCAAGATATCCGGGTGAGTCTATACCTGGCTGAGTTCGTGAACTAGGAGGACAAGACGGAGAACTCACTTCGATGAGGCTGTTGGTCGAGTAACAGGTCAAAAACTCAAAGGACCAGAGACACGACCCATCAAGTGCGATCGTCGGAACGGTGTCGGTCCCCCTCCCAACGACCTACCCTTGCTTCAGCTTTTCTTAGTATCGTCAGAACAACGAATCCTAAAATCGCATATTTGAGCACCGGGAAATGAAGGACAGCTATTGGGACAATGGGGACACCCGCCTCACAGGCTCCGATAAGCCAGCATTGGGCTACTCCATGTTTTGAATCTTGACAAGACAATGCTGGCTTTGTAGTTTGTATGTGTTAATTTATTTTGGCAACTTGTTCTTTCGAATGGCAAAGAATGTTGTTTTATTGGATAAATTGTAGTTTCGCAAGGCAAAGTATTAATCAAATGCCATACGGGAAGTCCGCTGAAGTACTTTGTTTTTTATGCATGAATGTACATTATACAAAGCATTCGCCCTATGCGAGTTTAACTACTGCAGCACTTAGTATATAGCTGAATATTGACTAAATGAATTCAACTTAGAAGGTTGTTTTTTGTACAACTCAAGTACGCACTAGACACCTTGAGTTTCATAATAATGAAACCAATGCAGTGAAGTACTAGTTAAAGACTACTGATGCGCGATGCCTGAAAAGAGACAGGCTTTAAAATACACAATTCTCATAGTAAAGTAGTTGTTGCCTCACAAAGGTCATAGCACAAGTAAATTCACAAACGCAAAAAACATCCCGAAATGCAAGCTTTTCAGGAGAACCTCTGGTGAAGTTTGGATTTGAGGGTTTTAAAGTCTCTCTAAATAAGTAAAGCAACTGTTTAAGCAAATAACTCTAGTCAACAAACCTGTTTCCAGACAAATATTGCTTCTACTAGGCAAAATATTGCTCAACCATGCAGTACTCATTACATGTTGATTCGACCAATCTAGCAGTCAGTGAATATTCAATTATTGGGTGAGTACAAGATTTACTAAATATACACAGAATATGACATAATGCTCAGTAAATGGTACTTGACTACAGAAAACTAATTCAATTACGTACTAATGAAATACCATTTATATACTATTCGCTTTGACAAGTACAATTTACATAGAAAAGCCTTGAAAAGCACAAATTCCTAAGAACCATACCATCCACCCAGTAAAGGCTACAGTACTGAGCATGGGAATGCGGGGTTTGGGGGCAGAATGCTCAAACGCTTTTTACATGCTACTTGAATATGAAACTAAATTATTCATGTACCCATTAAATACAGTACTCTTTAAGTGTACGATGCACAGAAAAGTACAATTTGCAAAGAGAAGCGTAGAAAAGCACAATTTTCTTAGAGAGAAGGGGGGCTCAGGCAGTACGGAAAAGCACAAAAAAGCCACAAACGCACAAAAACACACAAAAAGCTAAAATTAGCAAAAAGAACATGAAAGCCAAACAAATATATTTCAGGATTCTCCACAATATTCTCACGGAAAACCTAGAAACGACAATATTTCAGGACTTTCCACCAAATCTGTACGGAAAACCAAAAAAACCAAAAAAAACAAAAAAAACAAAAAAACCAATTTTCAGGGACTCTTCGAAATTAGGCCATCTGCTGGAAGAGTCCTGAAATATTGGTTTTTTTGGTTCTTTTGGTTTTTTTGGTTTTTTTGGTCTTTTGGTTTTTTGGGTTTTTTGATTTTCCGTACGGATTTTCCGTACGGTTTTGGTGGAGAGTCATGAAATACTGTTCTTCTTTAGTTTTTTTGTTATCCGTGGGACTGGAGAGTCTAGAAATATTGTTGTTACTTGGGTTTTTTTGGTTCTTCAACAGCGACAAAAGGCAGAGAAAGTGCACGCCCACAGTCCCCCGTTTTGTAAAAATAACCCGAATACTCGGCAACACATTTCAGAACTGAGACTTTGTGTGGGATTCGGGCGTGATGTTGCCCAGAATGACACAAACCAGGGATAGGGAGCTCGATTTGAGGGTCCACGAGCTGCATTTGTGGACAAGTTGCTCAAACTCCCGAGTGGGAAGGCTACCAGGAACAGTGACAAGTCAAGCGAGAGGCAAGGCTGTTGAAGGCGAGTTAAGCTCAACGCAATCCCAAGAAGCTACGGAATTACAAAGGCATTGTAAAATCTTGACAAAGCACATGCCGAACGCCAAAGGAATGCAACTGCTTGCGAAGACGCTCGGCAACGGACCAGGGCATGTTTTGGCTGCCGACAAGGTAGCGACTTGATGCACACCATTGCAGCACGTCTATTGTCGTTGATGGCTTCCCAAAAGTAGCAGCAACAACGTAATCTGCAAACATATCCGGAAATGTTCCGGCATCTGCGACGGTACGGTTCATCGCGAAGCTTCGCTCGCCGATTGGCGGAAAAGCATAATGCACAAGTATGCGGCAATTCCGAAGTGCACAAACCTGAGCGACAGGAAAAAGCCAGCAGCTAGAAGACAAACGCCGCTTCCACATTGTGGTCTAAGGGCAGCGCTCGACCAGAACCCCAGCCATGTCTGGCATCTGCCCGCTCCAGACGTCCCCGACATCCTCCAAAGCCCCAACACACTTTTGGGGTCCAGGGCCCATGAAATTCGGTCGCCAGAATCGCTAAAACCCGAATTGAAGAGCAACTTTGGCGGCCAGCAGTGGCCTTCCATATCTGGCAGCTGAGGCAGTAGAAAACCTGCCATTTGTCCATGGAGTCCCCGAGGCTTTTAAGAGTCGAATGCCGAGGCGCCGCAACTCCGAGTGACACGGGCGCAGAGACTTCGCCGAATCCAGCCAGCGACACGACGAGCATGAGCAGCCCGATCACGGCCAAGAAGACGTGCCACAGGCAACGGAAGATGACACTCTCCTGGACATGTATTCTGGACATCGCTGCGAACGGGAAAGGAATAGCGGCATGTGCTAGCAGCGAGCCATGTCCAGAATGCATGGGATGCCGTGCAAGAGCCGGTTCTGACCTTTGTCGTAAACAGTCCTTGTCCGACAGCCGGGGATCCAGGAGGAGCCGCGCGGGCCACATCGTCCACGTCACTCGCAGCCTGCTCATCTTGCGGTGTACTGCGGCTTATCACAGCAGCAAGTACTGGTGTGCCTTGGTGTGTCGCAGGTAAGAAGCTGAACGCGGATGGATAAAAAAGTGGATGCAAGATGAGTGTCAGTATGAAGGGCCTGTAGACACATCCGACATTCCAGGCCTTGCATCTTCCTGTAGGCGCTGTTTGTCAGCTGCAGCCTTGGGGAGCAACGCTTGGGCGAGGGCCTCCCTAGCTTCGCATGCCATCGCACGTCGCACCATTTGTCGCGCCCTTCCAGGGGCCAGGCTCGCAGCTGCAAGCGGCTTGTCCGGGCGACCGTGGCAGGTGCGTCCGTCGCTGTTGTATCCTTAATACCATCTCTTAGTATCATCCTGTCCCGCACGCGTTGGTCTGAGGCCACAGCAGCCAGCTCTTGGAATGCGTCCCCGATCGTGGCGCCATCACCCTGATGACAAAGCAAACCACACGCAGAACATTGCATAACCTGACCCGCCCTGCCCGCCTTGAGCTGCAAACCCTTCTGCACACGCGCGGCCACGTCACTCTCGCGCATGAACCGGACCTGTCACCCAAATCCATGTGCCCAGAACAGAACAATATGTTTGAACAGAAGAAGAAGCGGAAGCGTGCCCATGCGGGCCCTCTTCAAGGCCGTCCGTGAAGCTTCGAAGTCATCCTGAGACTATGGGGGGTAGTCAGAGGGTAGTGATTGGCCGTGGTGCTGGTCACATCTCCAGTCTGCCTCGAAGAACTTGCTCAGAGGCAGCAGCAAGGCCTTCTGAACAGGTGCTTCTTGCTCAGGAGTTCCGAGAAGTGCTGTACATCGCAGCACGAAAGCAGGTAGAGGCAAAGTGCTGTCAAGTGCTGCCACAACCCTCTGCCACAACCCTATAAAGGATGCTACGGAAAGCAACAAAGGAACTCGTGCTTCTTGCCCTGAGAAATAGTACTATCCGTAGGCCGATAGGCGATTCGGATTGGCCCATTCTCCGACTGTCCGCACTTTTCGGCACATACCACGAATATACCCCCTGCACTGCCGTGGGACAAGGCCCCAAGGCCTTCGAGGCCGTTAACGGCGAAGTTGTTGTTGGACCAGTGTTGGGTCTACGTTGACGCTGTATTGCATCTACACCCGCCACTTGCACTTTCGAGCGAGGCGGCAGGCGTAGCACGAGACGTTAAGAAACACTGAGCGCTCAAGCCACGGCTGCCTCCGTGTCATACGAGGTGAAGAGGAACAACAAGAAGACAATCGCTGGCACAAAGTAAAACACGGCCACCTCCAAAGCTGGGATGTAGAGAGCAACGTGGAGACTGAGTCCTGCAAGTGCCCTGTGACGCCTGGTGCGCTTCGTGCAGCACGTTGGCAGCCATCAATTTCCTTTGCTATCACTTCATGCAGGCTCTGCAGGCATGGCAGGCATTGTAGATTGTATGCAGCAGTTGATTTTGGCGCTCATACATCGTGCATTCTGTATCTGTCTTGCTCTCATGTATTCGCACGTTCCGTGAGACAAGCTGCTGAGCACTGCTAGCCAGATCGCCCAACTTCACCAAATGGAAAGCTTCACGGTGCGCCTCGCCGCGTCTGCGTTGTCACTTGGCAGTCATGACAATCATTGACTCATGACCCTGGCCGCCCACCAACCAGATGTTGATGATGAAGTGCGGGAAAGCATTCGCAAAACACCAGAGCAGCAAGCGGAAGAGCGAATCCTCAGAACTCAGTACGGCCCTGTGTGCTGGGATGCCAAAACGATGCTTTCAACGGACCATGCCTGGGAGGGCAAGAGGGGCTCGAAGCTGATGAGCAAGTCGTGTTTCAGGAGCTGGTAGTAGATGCGGTGGTTCAACACCATCCGCGTCCTTAGGTGAGGAATGGTCGGCCTGCGATCATGTAAAACACAATGGGCTGAGGTGCTCAATCTCCTTCCTAAAGTCTCAGGAGGTCACGCCACCATCAGGGACACAGCCATGGCCAGCAGCGGAAAGCAGCGGACGTAGGCCTGCAGTGACTGCAGAGACTCCACGCCCGTCTCTCGCAGCAGATGCGAAGGATCCTTGAAAAAGCACATCCCGGCCTTTGTGTACTCGCAGAAGATGGACGAGTACCACCCGCACCTTCTCGCAGCACGGAATCACACGTTCAGCTTCGAGGGATGTGAATGCCAAGGCCCAACGGTGCAGAGGCTCTGCGTGTGCTAACGCTTATGCGCTTAGACTCGCCCTGCTAGAGGCCCAGACCTCAGCGGGTCGCAGCTCATCAGGTTGTCATGAGAGCGTGGCCCTAGCACCTGAGCAAGCCCTAACCACAGCGGAAGCCATCAACGGAAAGAAACACCATATGAATCTCCAAGACGGTTCAGACTCAAGATGATCAAGATGGCATAGATGGAAGACGGATGGAAGCTCAAACGGCGCCTGCACCAGGATGAACACCAGCGCAAAGAGCTGGCGACCTCGTGCTCCAGATGTGGCACAAGCTCGCCGGGGCAAACCCTCCAATCTCCTCTCAGCTCTGGGCCCACAGACACGCCAGCCTCCACGAAGAGGTCCCATGGCTCCCTGGAACAAAGCTGAAAGGCCATTCTGCACCACGAAGTGAAACGGACGGGCGGCGCGAAAGACGGGGCGTGTCTCCACGGGTTGCTGAAGTCTGCGCTAGCCAGGAGATGGGTTGAGGTATCCCCTCAAAAAAAACCCCGAAGAACTAACAACGCAGGGCGTGAGGAATCCATTCCTCAGGCTGCGACCCTCGCGTTTCCCACGTCGGGTGTGACTTCACGGCACCATAGCCACGACTGGAGACGCCCTCTGCCTCGCGGTTGGGCACCTCAACAGTTCTGAACTTCGGACGGGCCGCAGGCCGCAGGCCCTCACCACGCCCTGGGTTTCAGCATTCTCTGAGCCACAGCGCCCCAAGCCATGCTAAGTCCCGCACTGCCAAGGCCCGCTCCTGTATCGCATTTCAACAGCTACTCACAATGGAGGTCATTGCCCATCACCCCTGCTGAAGATTCTGAAGCAACCCCTCCCATCGTTCAACTGCAGCACTGCAGATGAGGTCTGTGGACAACCGCATCTCTAGCGCTACGTTTGCGCGGGCCCCTTGAAAAGTCGTAACGCTTGTGGAAAGGCAGGAAAAAGAAAAGAATGTACTAAGCCTGAGCAACGAAGAAGAAGAAGCACAAACAAAATAGCCTCATGGGACTGAAATGGGTTGAAGACCCGACGAGAAGTTCACACTCTTCTCGGCTACTCGATCCCGCCTCCGCGGCCAGTCGGAAGCGGTAGGGCGGCTGCATTTGGGTCGGGGCCGAAAGAATCGGCTGCAAGGGAACATGACGAGATTTCATGACAGCTTGGCACTGGGATGCTACACAGCGCCGAGCGGCTGTCGTTTCCGCACGGCTTAAGTCAAATGGCAGATGCAAACTTTTTTGGCCCCCCCTTCGCCCTTCGCCTGCAATGTGTCGGAGCAGTCGGCCCCAACTCCAGATCATCAACATGCACTCAACTCTCAACATGCATCAACCACATCATCTCCAAAGATATGGCGGCAAAGCTCCTGACGGCCGAGCTGCAGCGACCGAAATGCTGCCCTCTTAAGAGGGTACAAAGCAAAGCAGCAAGGCACCTACTTACCATAAGAATGCTACTTTCAACCTGATCCCTTTGGCCTCCTCGGCCTGTCGTGCTAGAAAGATCCACGAGGCGCTGGAGGCACCTGCCACTACTGGAGACATCGCATGCTACGGTTGCCACAACCTGCCCAAGCGGATCAACCGTGCCTTCTGTATCGAATTCAACTTGGCCAACTTCATCTCTGTCTTCGATCATTGCAACGGCCCCGGTCACAGGGCATGTAGTCTCCGTCTCAGCGATGCCAGCCATGCCATTTGTCGAGGCCGGCTCAACCTGGATATCCTCGAGACCCTTGCTCTCGCATCTTGTTGCTTTTATCGCCCCGGTGGTGGTCGTCGCTGCCTTTGGCAGCGCCGGCGCATGTGGCGGCGCTTCGGGCAGGCTGTCCACGAGCGCTTGCGGCCGGCACAAGTTTCCCGGGCAAGCGATCACGGAGGTCGCAGCAGCCACAGCTCTTCCACCTCACGCAGATACCAGCAAGCACCAAGCAGAAGCATGCACACAATGCAAGTGCGGTACGTGCTGCCAGTGAAAATTTCAAGTCTGCAGAACAAGGAGCTCAAAGCCCCTGTCTCGAAGAGAAAGCGAGATGGCTCGGCGGCCTCGAAACATGGGCCACCGCGTGCCACAAGTCTGCAAGCTTTAGGTCATCGGGTAATCGGGCAACTGAGGGACATCAAGGCAAAAAGCACGACACCAGGCCCAAAACACGGTCGAAAAAAAGCGAGCAACTCAACAGCAACTCTTCCGCCATGCACAAGTGGCGTTTTCTCCCGCACCTGTCCGGAGTCATGACGCAGCGAGAAAGACAGCACCTCGACACGGCCAAGGCGCATGCAGCCACATCCGGAGTTTTCTGGGGTGCAGGTGCTGTAACTGTAGGTGTTCGAACGCACGGACCTGAATCGCATCCCTGAGCTATCAGAAACTGAAATCACTGAGATCAGAATCCGAGATGCAAGGTGGTCCCTGGCGCGCGTCATCGCGACGTAGAAGAGCCTAGGTCAACTAGCTCATACTAGGTCATTGTAGTGGGCGGCAGCCGATCGTGCACTCTGACTGACTGCCTAGACGTTCGTTTCAAGGTTGAAGCGAGCAATCACTTGCACTTGGCGGTTTCTCCTCTTCGGCAAGGCCGGCAGTTTCAGTTCTGAGTCCATCACGCGCTGCTGCTTTGAACTCCCCTCTAAGGCCCATATGCACAGCTGTACACAAGTCGAGTGTATACAGGTGATCACCGTGTGATCACGCGTGATCACACGTGCAACCGGAAAAGGTGGCTGCCGCCACGCCGCTTGATTGGTCCTAGCTTGTGGGCTGGCAGACATTCCCACAGGTGTCACTACTTTCCAGGAGCCCAGCACACAGCCTCTTCTAAGTTCTCATATATGATGTAAAATTAGCTGTTTCGTTTTTTGCTCCATCTTTTTGCTGTCGGCCTGGCACCCTCGTCATTCCTGGCCAGTGAGGCGCCTCCAGATGGAGCCCTCTGTGACACTCACGTCGCCATCCTCTCCAACGACTTGCTGCGACTTTCCGGAGATTTGTCGGGATAAGTGCGGTATCGACTACCTCTCGCACTTTACACCTCTAGACAGCCCCCCGGTCCTTCAGTAGCTTCTCCGTCTGCTTCCGATCTGGAATCAGCCAGGGCAGGAGCCTCGGGCATGTCACAGGACACCGAACAAGCCATTTTTTCGCACAAGTGAGAAAAACAAAGACTCTCTCCCCGTACGGGGCGGAAGACTCTGAGGCGGCTGACAGGAGCACCAGTGCTGGAAGCACCGAGGAGATGGCGGAGGCGACCCAGAGGTTCCTTGTCTTTGACACTTCTGGAGAACGAAAAGTGGCTCCAGCATATGGGTGTCTGTCCGGCATATGGGTGTCTTGCTTAGATTAGAGGCCCTCAAAACACAGAGAGGACACACACACACACACCTCCACCTCTACACACATACACACAACTACCTCTCGAACAGTGAGAGAAAAAGCCCTTCCGAAAGCAAAGGGAAGAAAGGAGAGGGAGAGGGAGAGAGAGAGAGAGAGGGAGAGCGCAAGAGAGAGGCCGAGTTCATGCCACGGCTCTTGAACTGAGCCGACTCCATCTTGGCGCCCGACGGCTGCACCTGTCTTACAAGGCGCCACTAGGCGGCCAATAGCCGCTCGCAGCCGCACTGAAAGGGGGGGGGGGGGCAAAAGAAGTGACGGATCGGGATTCCGGGATTCCGGGATTCCGGGATTCCGGGATTCCGGGATTCCGGGATTCCGGGATTCCGGGATTCCGGGATTGCGGAACCCACCTCCAGCCACTCCAACATAAATGCGCCGGTCGAGGAGGCGATGGTGCCTGCAAGAGACCGAGGGACTTCACACGGCTGTCGAGAGAGGTCCTTCCATCGAACCTCCCAAGTTGTGGCAGCCCGCCAGGAGGGCATACATCGTGGCCTGAACAGAGGCACGGCAAAGCTGGGTTCTACAGTAGAGAACTAGCTCAAAACTCATCTCGAGGTTCCGTGCAGAGTGGTGCCTCCAGGCCGGGAGGGCAAAGCTGGGACAAGATGACAACGCCTGGCCTCGGGTGCAAACGTGCGCAGAAAACTGCTGGGTATCCAGGTGAGGGGACGCTTTGGAGTCCGAGCAGCATCCACTGCCATTGGCTTAAGATGGTGGCAAAGACGCTGCTGCCCAGGATGAAGGCATGATCTGGAATGCCTTCCGAGAAAGAGAGAGGGAGAGAGAGAGAGAGAGAGAGCGAGAGAGAGAGAGAGAGAGAGCGAGAGAGAGAGAGAGAGCGAGAGAGAGAGAGAAGACACAGCGAGCGAGAGAGAGTGAGAAAGAGAGAGAGAGAGAGGGAGAACGAGAGAGAAACAGAGAGAGAGAGAGAGAAAGACAGAGAAAGAGGGAGAGGGAGCGAGGGAGGGAGAAGGAGGGGGGAAGGAGGGAGGACGAGGGAGCCATCTTTGGGGGCCCCGAACGTAACTTTCGGGTCTAGGCCCAATGGTTCTGGAAGCAGATCTGTACATGAGTACGTGACTCGTAGAACCACGTAAGGAACCACGTAGAGAACCATGGAGAACTCTTCTAATCATCTTGCTGCAGAAGAGGTGCCAATCCGTGTGTTGAGGCGCAGGAAGAAAACCACATCGGTGACACTCAGGAAGCAGAGCGCCAGGTTGCTGACGAGAAGAAGGTGGCGGAAGCTCCAATCGCTGGCATATCGCCTGAGCATCGCGGCCCTTCTGCAAGCTCATGCCTTACTGGCGACTAATTGCAAGGCTGCTCTAGGCATGCAGGTGGCTGGTAGGTGTAGATGCCCAGCAGGGAGAAGACCGAGCCCGTGACACCCAGAACCGTGGTGTAGAAGACCTGATGAGAGCTTTCGGATTTTAATTCTCACAGTCACTTTTCAAAACATCACTCTTGAATCAGCCCGCCGGTGGCCTTGGAGAAGTGGGGCCCCTCAGGGTACTGCTCGTACGTGTCCGTGTAGAAGTAAAAGGATGCACCGCCCACCGAGAAGTTCACGGCGGTCTGTAAGCAGAAGAAAGCGTTGACCTTGGCGATCTCCGGCCGAAGGAGGATGCTGAACGCGGTGATGATGACCACCTCTTGCTGCATTACACTGCCGCTACCCTCGATGAATTAAAGAAGCTTGCTTCAGGGTTGCTTGGGTGGGTTGGGCGAATGCCTGAATGAGGGAGCCGGCTTCATAGCATCTTCAACACAAGTCTAGCAGTGGCAAGTACCTGCAGCAACTAGCTGTGGGGCCCCACCCTCACCCTGAGCACGGCACGGCGACCAGCACCGAGGCAATGGCATTGACTCGGACATTCTGCAGCGTGGTGCCGACGATTGTCAAAGCCAGCGTCGCGGCCATCATCAAAAGGCACAGCGCGCAGGCCTCCCTCTGCTTGAAGATGCTGGCGCGCATGGCCCGGATGTCCTCCAAGGTCAGCTTGCGCTCCTGGAGGTAGCCCTTCATCAGGGGCACCACAATGATGCTGGAGGGCACCAAGACCACCAAGAAAGGGAGCTTCGGCCCAAAGTGGGACATGATGGGACCAACCATAAGCATGGCCACAAGCCCTCCGCATTGCAGGCCAAACCACACGTAGGACATCAGGGCTGGGCCTTCCTTGGGTTTGGTCTGCATCTTCTCCGCATATTTGGCCTCTGTCAGCAAATCCGTGGTAGAGAGCTGCAGCTGGATCAGGAAAAGGCAGAAGACGAGGCTCGTGATTGTCAGCTGGCTTTGCGGCACTGAGCCAATGCAGGCCGTGGCTGCAGATCCCAGGACAGCCACCAGAAGAATATAGGGAGCTTTGTTGTAGCCCATGATCGGCATGGTGTCGCTCAGCAAGCCAATCATGGGCTTCATGGCCCAAGGAAGGTGCGTTACTCCTCGATAGACTTGCATCTGTGGGCCGGCCACTTTGTATCCACCGTAGAGGAAGTTGATGCAGGGATTTGTGAACTCGTTCACGAAACCCTTCATCAGGTGCTGGGAGACAAACAGCATCACCAGCAGCTCGTAGCCGAAGTTAGACTCCAACTTCTCGATGTACGGCCCCAGGCCAAATCCATCGCGAACAGAGGCACTCAGCGAGTTGCTGGGCTTCTGGGGCTTCTGGAGCTTCTCCTGACTTAGCAATGGCGCCTCCTCGTCCTCCTCATCTTCCTCAGGGCTGTTTGGGCTGTTTGGGAAGGGCTCGTTGGACGAGCCCGCCTTGCTGCCGCGCTTCATGGCTATGGCCCATATGGCATCTCATGAAATGGGGAGGGCTTGGCTTGGGCCATCCCTTCGGGCGGCAAACCGGCACAAGCTGTCCACCTGTGTGAACACACGCATTTCAGCAGGACCGAATCACAGCTCACGGCCGGCGCTCCTCTTCGCAGTCTTCGAGGCCCGCTTGTCTTGGCGTGGCCCGAGTTACCAGATGTTAACGGACACGAGCATCATCGAACAGGTCTGAGGACGTCTGAGGATGTCTGAGGCCTGCGCAGTGGCATGACCATCTCGTTGCACTGCAGAACGAAGACAGAGTTCCACTCGAGTCCTTCGCAGGATGGCGCCCGGAACGAGCGCCGGACTAGGCCATGGCCACATGACAAGCCGTCCTTTGGCTTGATGAATGGTGCTCACCTTGGCTTTACGTGTGTACCTTGCAGACCACTGGCACGTGACGCCTGTGCTGATTAATGCCCTCACTGAGCAGGAAGCGAAAACGCTGGCGGACTCCGATGAAGACCCAGCCAGACCTGGCCCATGGATGCACGGAAGCGGAGGGCACGACTCTCCACGATTCGCGAAAAAATGAAGAAAACCATTCTGACGAATCATCGCTGCACTCTGGGCCTGCACCCAATGCCGCATGCTGGAGAAACTGAAGCACACAAGCAGCGCCCAGTGGCGCCTCCTCAGGGGCGGAAGATGGAGGAAGGAGGCTTGGCTCACAGGGTTCGTAGGTTTGCAAAGGCAGGGTCATATGCCGGTGGCTGTCTGCAGGTTTCTACGCTGGGGACATGAGGACCCCGCAGCACACAGCGTGAACTTCTCTGCGGACGCAAGCATCTGCTGTAGGGAAGCCTGACACGTTCGGAACACGCGCACCCGAAACGCACTTCCCCCGCAAATGAAGGCGCATGTGACGCGAATGCAATGGGCTGCACAACTACATCATTGTACAACGATGTGCGGTCTCTGCTCCCCCATGCACCCCCCGCCCCACCCCCCGATCCCGCAACCGAACCCATGCCAGACCGCAGGACCAACAAGACCAAGGCGAGAGTTGAGCTGTGGGGTAAGTTGAAACAAAGCGGAATCTCGGCCTGCCCCGCCTGGTCCCCGCCTCGGCACAGAGGCTTCACTTCGGCGCAACGGTGCCAGTCCCCTATGCGAAGCCTATTGCATCTAGCTCTCCAGTTCTCTGCTATGGGCGCTCTTCTCCCGCCCTTGAAGTCGTTGCGACGTCGTGGTCCTCAGCCCTGAAGAAACCAGCACGCCACCCGACCTGACCTCTGCATCGCAAGGAGACTGTCAGGCTTGGCTTGCCCACTGTTCGAATGGCGAGCATGCGATCTTCCGAAGCGCAAGAAGCACAGATTCCATTCATGATCTTAAACTTCGCGCCATGTCACGCCCGCGCATCTCTGCGGCCCTGATGTCCTAGGGCCCACTAGTGATAGGTAGATGGCGTGGGAAAGGAGGAGGTCGGCGCCAAGATCCAAGACCCGAGCTCCCCAGGCCCGTCTGTGCCATGATGACCCGAAGCACCCCCGCCGCGCTGTAGTCGGCCTGGGGAAGCTTTGGCGGGCTAGTTTCATCGGCTTGGTCCACGCTTTAGGGCCTTCCCACAAATAGAATCTCAGTAACCCAGGCCCACGGCGGAGGCCGCTGCCTTCCGGGCCGCGTGGAGGGCCGAGGCCAGACTGGCCAGCCCTCGGGGGGGGGGGAATGCGAAATTCCATTTTAAGTTCAAGCGAAGAGGTGGTTTTAAGAAGGGAAGCGATCGCAGGGCTCTGTGAGAAGCTTTCGCGCCTTGAGCCGACCTGGCGTGGCTGCCCAGCCAAGGAGCCTGCAAGTTGTTTGCAGGCGCTCTATAAACTCACAAAATCCAGCGAGTTTATTCAAATGTTCCAAGGTTGCAGAAGTAGAGGCCTTCAGCAGCCGTCCCATGGCACCCTCCAAGGAACCGGATGGTGGTTCACCGGGGGCGCCTCCACTCACACTCAAAGATTCGGAAACCGGTGCTTCGGAAGGACAAGACATTAAGGCTGGTTTCTCATTGTGCAACATCGGCCCCCCATCACCCTCTCGAACTCTCCACACATGTGATTTACTTGGGTGCACACCACCCCTGCTCGAAGCCGCCAGGCTAGTCGCTCGGGACACCACCTGCGCAGCAAATGCTAAGCTGGTCGTGCCAAAGGCCCTGTTGGAAGGGAGTAATGAACTCTGAAGAGTTGTCGATAGAAGCTCAAAGAAGACAAGATCAATTCAGAAAGCCAATGAAGCCAATGACGCCCCTGCTCTGTCCGGCAATTGTTGTAAACAGAGTTGCCTCCTGCAAACTGAGCGACGCCACGCCCTCCAGTGAGGAAGCCCTCGGAACGGGAAAGCGCAGTTCAGAACCAAATCGAGTGTGGAGAGGCGTTGTGGAAGGGTTCGTCTATATAGCTGGGGTATTGATGGCCTTAGGTCATCTTAGGTCATGGGGCCCTCACTCAGCGAGCATCCACCCTGCAGGCCCCCCGGCTCAACCCCCCAACCCCCCCAAGACAAGTACTGCAAACAACGGTGCTGCAGCACGGAAGGGCATGGAAGGCGGCCTAAGCGCATGCAGACCATGCAAACCACTTGCGAGCGGCCAAGGGCCACACCCAAGCGACCCAGCAGGCGTGGCGGGGGCTCCGAATTGCTCCCGCAGGCAACGAAGGGCCGCCTCAAAGAGTCTGAAGAGCAGATCTTCGTCTTAGCTGATCTTTGAGCTCGTGGACTGTTGCCCTGGGTCACTCTCTCAGGCCTTGCCCAGACCACGGCGAGGAACATTGTGGACACGGAGGAAGGACCTGAAACGGTGCTCGATGTAAGAGAGCAAGCACGAGACGTGCATATGTGTATGCAAACTTTGACAGTTGACTTATGCAGGGCGGGCCCGCAGAGCTTTCTCAGATCTCTCTCAGGACGTGGCACATCATGATGTGGGTCCACGACGAGTCTCAAGTACGCGAACAAGAGCACCTCAGCACAAAGCATCAACGGCTCAGGAAGCCCAGGCTCTCATCTTGCAATTCGTCTGCTCCTCGTCACGCGCTCGGACCATGACCACGGAGGAACGTGCATCGGAGGTTCCTGAGACGTCTTAAAGAGGCTGGTCTCTACTGGTATCGCCATCTGAATGAAGTCCTCCCGTCATGTTGACCCTTGAGGCATCTGCGGCGTGCTGCAACACTGGATTGCCAGATGGGGATGCTGAGCTGGGAAAGCACCTCGCGGCACTAGGCATGACTCAGCCATCCATTCAGAAGCAGTTCCACGGCGTTACAGTTGCAGTTGCAGTTGCAGTTGCAGTTGCAGTTGCAGTTGCAGTTGCTTCCAGTTACTTCCACCAAGCTTCCAAACATTTCCAAACGAACGCCAAGAGCCTGGGCTGCCAAGGCTGCGGAAGCGTTCGTGCGCGTTAGGACAGCAAAGTCGCCTCCGCTTCAGTGGCTGCCACTGCAAGCTGAAAGAGATGAAAGACCCAGGCACCCTCACATGAAGAAGGAAGGGGCGCTTGCGACCACTTCCGGCCAAATTTGCCAAGCGCCGCGCTCCACGAGCTGCCAGCTTCTCCTTCAATCTACCCACATGTTCGTGGAAGTTTGCACAAGGATGCATGGCATATCATGGCATATCATAGCAGTCATAGCATGCAAAAAGACTTTGCGCTGACAATGCCCAGCTGCACCTCGTAATCTGATGATTTCTTCGGCAGCCCAACGAGCTTCGGCCGAGAACGTCTCCTTGGCAGACGCCTGGACCTTCACGTCAGAAGGCTTGGCTTACGAAGGTTCGAACATGGGATTCATGGGATGTCTGGCTCGGCTCGCCCTTGCTTTGGGTCATTTTTGGCTGTGTGTGGTTAGGTACTTGGTCGATCGACTGCTGTGCAGGATTCACGGGTGCGGAGCACTGGCCAGCGGCGAGAACTCCTTGTGTGCTGAAATATCCGAGGACCCATGACCCATGCGCACGTTTTTATGGCCATCATGCAAGCACGGGCTGCGCCCTGGCCTCCGCCATGCCGCCATGTGAGTTGCCGGCTGGGCGCGCCGGCCTTGACGATGCTTGCCCGAATCCCTCCCGCCCTTCGCCGATTCGAGTTGCAAGTTGCTAAGGGCCCAGGACTGCGGCCGCAAGTCTTTCTCTTCGCGCTGGTGATTGTGAAGGATCAGCTTCTTCGATGCTTCGACAAGGTGGGGCCTTGGCAAAAACCGGAAACAAGCGGTGTCGATACAAAAAATGTATCTTCCCCCCCTCTCTCCACAACAGAATCACTTATATTGAAAAAATTAACTGGAACCAGGCTGAGATGCCCGCCGGGAGCGCTGGTTCGCGCCCAACGTCCTCAAACACGCCCCAGGCCAATGAAGGCGGAAGGCCTCTCCGGCTTGCCACACTCTGCAAGAGCTGAGCTTCCGTCGCCCTGCTCTGCCTCCTCTCGATATGCTCCTAAATGCTGCAACCTAATTGGGCAAACGATGGCCATGATTGTGGGTCTTTCGGGCTATCAGCTGTTCAAAGGAGAAGAAAACATCATCTGTCGGGCATGCTGCACATGACGCCACCGTCAAGAATCTGTGGCACGGGTCTTTCTCCTTGACATGACTGGAACAGGTTCGAGGTTCGAGGAAAAGCTGTTGCCCTTTGACAATCGAAGCGACCTTCGCTCGCGCTTTGTTTAGTGTTTTTGGAGTTAGATCACCCCGTGCTGAAAGCTCAACCACTATTCCAAGCCTACTCCGCGACGGCCGAAGGAGGGAGGCGGCTTACTTGTCACTTATCGTGGGCATATGTGGGCATATGGTTTTCAACCCCATCTTGGAAGAACAAGACGCGCCTCAGCGGGAGAGCTTGTTTGACCTCTACGCCATGTATAGATGCGTTGATCGTCATCACCTGCAGACAGAACAGTGACAGAAGAAAGCTTCGACTTGGCACACTTCTTTTGGAGGCGTCAGACAAGAGCGCAATGTGAAAGGAGCACAAGAAGCAGCAAGCGACACATCTCTCCATCCTTCTGCTGCCAGCATCGTCCAGTAACATTCGCACAGTGCATGGGGTTCTTGATCCAACTGCGAACCCCTGACCATCTACGACAAGTCAGGGCCTACAGCTGTCACCGCGGATCGTTGGGCAATGAGCTTGGCCAGGAATTGCGCCTGCTCTTTGTCCGCGTCCTGCGCCAGGATTGAACAAGTCCGACTGGCAAGACAAGTCTAAGCTGGGCAACACATGTGCCAACTGCTTTACGCTCTGAGTCTTACGTTCCTGCAAGCTACTAGTACCAGATGCAAGCCTGCCACTCGTCCACGAAAAGCATGTGGACGAAGTTAGCAGCCTTAGTCAGGAGTTAGAGCTGGCAATGCCTTCGACAACTGGAATAAAGTACAAAGCAGGCCTTGCATAGTGTGTCCAATGTCGCCTAACAGTTTCTCTGATCCTGGTCATGGGGATCGTACCAGAGTGGACGTGCAACATTCGCATGCCCCACCCCCTGCCACCATGTGTGCCGAAAACTGAACCAAACTGTGAAGCGCTTGGGGCGGATTTTTTTTGCGAACTCCGGGTCATGGCAGTATCTTGCCCAGCCAACACCTGACAAAGGCCACTGCCCAGCATGCTCCAGGAGAGCCGTGGGCGTCGTCGTCCAGCAAGCTGTCAAGGCAGGCAGCATCTCCATTTCTACGAGTACCGGTCTAAAACCGCAGCCGAGAAACACCCCCTTCCGCTCCCTTCCGCCTCGATGCCAGACCAATCACTTCCGATATGTCCATCAAGCGGCGCCGCCGGAGCTCCTGGCGAGGCTGACGCGCTGAGCCAAGGCAAGAGAAGGAGACAGTCGTGCACTGTGCCGACATGGATTCGCCACTGCTGGGAACTAGTCCACACATGCCCACTCTCTCTGAAACCGCAATTAAGTTTAGAGATCTTATGAAGAAATGCTTAACAAGGTGAACTGGGCAGCTGAGGCACCTCCAGAAAGCGGGTGCGCGCATCAGCAAGCAGAGGCTGCTCTTCCTGGGCCACCTGTCGAGGCGCATTTTGTCCAAGGGCACATCTCAAGCATCTCAAGAGTCTCAAGATGTTACTGATGTCACACCACGGTGACCCCAGGTCCGCGGCTGAGTCCCGTTTCTGGCGGCCGATCTGCTCGAAGACCTCGGATGGAGCATGGGGCCCACGCCTGAAGCCCAAGGCTTGCAGAGCACTCAAAGAACATTCAGTTCCTCGCCCACAACAACTTGGCCGCTGCATCGCCCCTCTTGCTATTCCGTGCCTCAACTCGTGTTCCAACGTTCAGTCTGCAAGAGGTATGCAGAGTCAACAGAACTGTAGGGAGTTAGCGAAAAAGAGAAGAGAGAGAGAGAGGGAGAGAGAGAGAGAGGGAGAGAGCGAGAGAGGGAGAGAGAGTGAGAGAGTGTGAGAGAGTGAGAGAGTGAGAGAGTGAGAGAGTGAGAGAGTGTGAAAGAGTGAGAGAGCGTGAGAAAGTGTGAGAGAGTGTGACAGAGAGTGAGAGAGTGAGAGTGAGAGAGACAGAGAGAGGGTGAGAGTGAGAGTGAGAGAGTGAAAGAGAAAGAGTGAAAGAGTGAAAGAGTGAAAGAGTGAAAGAGTGAAAGAGTGAAAGAGTGAAAGAGTGAAAGAGTGAAAGAGTGAAAGAGTGAAAGAGTGAAAGAGTGAAAGAGTGCAAGAGTGAAAGAGAGAGAGAGAGAGTGAAAGAGAGAGTGAGAGAGAGAGTGAAAGAGTGAGAGAGTGAGAGTGCGAGAGTGAAAGTGAGAGAGAGAGAGAGAGAGAAGGAGAGAGCGAGCGGGCGCGTGAGCGAGCGAGCGAGTGAGCACGTTTACCCCAACAGCTCTCACTGAGACAGAAGCGCTTCCGAGACCTTCCGTGCTCCCCCAAGCTTCCTGGTCCTCACAACGACGGCGTGAGGTGCGGACTGTGGAGGACTTGCATTAGAAGTCTTTTCAGTGCCGATATTTGAAAAAACTTGGAAACATGTGTGCGGCATGGATTTCAATTGATTTCAAGGTCGAGGGCCGCGACGAGGCCCCGCACAGCTACGAGGGGCCACAACCGTCAACTAGGAGTCCGGAGCACAAGTTCTCGGAATTGAAATTCTGGCGTTCGTGCAAGACGCTCTCGAGACACCCTGCTATTCCATGCTGACACGAATACTCAGCAGACTTGGCAATGGCAATTGCTTTGCATTATACCCGGGGCTTGCCGTGCCGACCTATTGAAAGAATCTGAATGATCTTGCCCCGCAAGTACGAGGCCTCCCCTGCACAGGTTGCGCTCCTCCACAGTCGGCTCCGGCAGGCCCTGGCAAAACCGGATGGGCACTTGACTCACTTGACGTCACTGTACCGCGTCTCTATGTCCTTCAAGTCAGCAGTCCTGAACGAATTGGCCCAGTTCTGGCCCCTGCTCCAGGACTGCGCGTGCAGCCGCTCGACGATCCTCGCAACGTTGCGACACTACCGACGCTGGCACATTGGCAAAGCTTGTAAGTCCTGATCGGAGGCAGCCCGGCCAGGTAAACCACGCCGGCCTGCGGAACGGAAAGCACTACCCTCCGACTCCTCTACAATGCTTCACCAACGCGGGCGATCGCAGATGTGCAACTGCCGCAATCTGTACACATGAGTTCAGGCATGGAGGGATCAGTTTCAGATGCTCCGACGTGCTCTGACTGTACTTCGGCAAATTGCCACAGGGCTCCGCTGCTTATCGTGCCACTCTGTCCATCGCAGCACAAGCCAGCTTCGCATCAGTTTTCCAAAAGTCAAACGCAACTCCTCAACCCCGAAAAATACCAGAGAGCGATGCCTTACGCACAAGTCTTCTTGAGCGACCCTTCTTGTTTCGAGACATGGCGCCCAAGGCCTCCAGCCTCGCGTAATAGCCTGGCATTGACTATTGAATTATTGGACTCCGAGTAAATGGAATTGTGGGCTTGCAATCGAAGCATTTCCAGCACGCTTCCCGAAAATTTCTAGATTGGGAGATGTTTTGCATTGCCGGGATGCAGTAGTTCCTTTTTCCGAGCACTGTGGCAGTCATCAGCAGTTTTTGGGCAACCACTGTCAGGGGTCCGGTGGCCCTGGAATCAAAACTTCAGGTGGTTTTACTGGGCTACAATGGCTCTACATGCTTGATTCCTGTACACACTCAGAAGCAGCCACAGCACTTGGCCTTCTTCTTCTTGGATCGCTTCTTGCGGTCCTCCTTCGTCGCCGGCTTCGAGAAGGGCGGCGCTGCTCCGGCAGTGAGGTTTTGGAAGGCCGGCGTGGTTTGCGCTGGCACCGCCGGTGGCACCTGCACCACCGGCGAAGCGCCCGCCACCTGCGGGCCACTCACCACCTGCGGGCCACTCACCACCTGTGCGGCGCTCATCACCGGAGACCCTGTCCGGGAGGTCTGTGCAAGGCTGGCGTTCTGCGGAGAGGGTACGAACATCCCGGACCCTGGCTGGATTGAGGTGATGGCCGGGCTGCCAGCCGCAGCTGGTGAAGGCACGAACACCCCTGAAGTGGTGATCGGGGCGACTGGGGCAGCCGAGGCGACCGGTACACCCGAAGAGACCAAGGCCGGCTGTGGCGCTGACATCGGCTGAGGCATGGGCTGGCCTTGGCTTCCGATGCTCTGCATCCATGGTGGGGCCGGGAGTGAGGTGACGGGCGCTCCGCTCACCGGAGCCGTAGCCACAGGGGAGCCCGCCACAACTGCCGGAGAGCCCACGTTCACTGGCGATCTTGCAAAGGGCCTGTTTGGGCCACATAGACGATCAGCATCACACAGCACCGCGCCTTGAAAGCCTTGCCACATCTGGTAAGCTGTGCTGGGCGTCGTCTTCACCGCTGCTGCTGGCACTGGTGCCTGCATTGCCCCGCCTGGCATAGCAGGCAGTGTCTGGGCGGGTGCAGCGGCAGCCATGGCAATCAGGCTGCCTGCTTTGACAATAGTCTACGCTGTCCTCAGGATCAAAAGCTTCACGCTTGAGCCAAACGGGTGCTCTTGAAATGTGCCCCTACAAAGCAAGCATCATCGAAACTTATCCTGCAAGATGCACAATGCGCACATGGCATGCAATTCAATTGTAAGCAGTTGCCGCACTGGGCTCCGACCGTGGGCGTCAGAGGTTCAGTAAAAAGCAAGGACAAGGGGACCCTCTCGGGACTTTTTCGGGATTTTGCAGGGAGCCCTAGATTGCAGCGGCGGACCCTTGTCGGTATCGGCCAAACTAAGGACCCCCCAACCAATGCCAAAGCCCTCAACCGGAACCGGCTTGAAACAAAAAGCCTCTACCTCTCCACTGGCAACCCTGGCCCCAAAGGAACTAGACTCTTGAAACTGTGAGAGAACCCGGAATGGTTTCACCCCCGGGGGGATGTGTAGGAGCCCCCCTAGACCTTCAAGATTTCACACCGGGCCGAAGCGGTCGACGCGTAGCGGTTGCACTTCACGCAGCAAGCTTTGTTGACACTTCTGCCAGAACCAAGAATCCAAGCATGGGTCAACCAGTATAAACAGAACACTCACCAAAGAAAGAACCCGCCGCCATGCCATGCTACTGGTAGCTCACTGACGCCTCAAGAACCAACTCAGCTGCCTGCTCTTGCAAGCAATTAACGACCCATGAGGCATGACAAGCCAGCCTCAGTGCCAGTCCATGCACTGTGCTGATCCAGACCTTTCAGAGTGCAAGAAAGGAGGGCGGGGGCGGGGCAGGGGGGCGGGCTTGCGTGAGGCAGCATAGGGCTTTGCAACGCTTTGTGCCTTGCCACCCGCTGGCCCTGCTAGTTGCCGGACTCGATGTGAGAGCTCAGCCGCAGCCTGCCCAAGGAGTCTGACGATCGAAGGTGTTCAGGGCGGCGTCAGTCTCCCCCCCCCCATGCCAATTCAGCGACTTTTTTAACGGTCAGAAAGTTCCACAAGTTTACATACCTGGATGTGCGTCACACATCGTTCAGGGTACTGGGTGTTGGGTGCGCGAGGGCATTTCCCCAAACATCCCCAAGGTGGTCCCCACTGACGTGCACAGATTCGTGTGGAGAAGACGTTGCCGCGGGCTCGTCGCAGCGCATACCCGGCCTTGCGCGTGTATGTCACAGCAACAAGCACCTTGCAGGGGCACGCAGTGCTTTCACGCTCGATCAGATGCTGAATCTTGCTTCTATCCATTTCTCCTCTCGCCCCGCTGAGGCTGAGCTCCCCTACATTCGTTGCTATCTTGAAGGTGAATTAAAATCGGAGATGGTCAGCGCTGGTAGCTGCTTAGTAGCTGAAAGCCACATGGTCCACCGCATCAGATCTTCAGCTTCTGCCACCGCCTTGTAACCGACGACGCTTTGCCAGGGGCTCGTCAAGAGAAAGAAGCAACTCCCGAACGCCCACTTCACTGCGGCAGAGCTCCTTAAAGGAGTCGCTTGTGACGACGTCCTTCATGCGGCCCTGCATCTTCTCTACGCAGGATTCCACAAGGGCCGGGACCTGGTTGCGGACTGTCACAACGGAAGCAAAGGTGGCGAGCGCAGTCCCCAGCGTCAGTTCCTGCATTAGTTTCCACTCACAAAGCCGGGTGAGATCATCCAACAAGAACTCGACTGAAAGATGCAGCAGTTCCAGTGGCTCTGCATCATCAAACAGCGTCTGCCCCACTTGGCCAGCAGAGTAGATGAAGCGCAGAACCCCTCGAAATGCATGCGCCGACGCCCTTGGAATGGGGACGTGCGACGCAGCTCCCTCGCTCATTCCAGCGCGGAGCATGCGCTCGAAGTAGATCGAGCGCGAGGCGAGGAGGAACTTGTCTGCTCGTAGCTCCTCGCCATCCACTTCAAAGGTGACGCAACCACTCGGAAAGTCGCCATCGCTTGCTAAGGAAGCGGAGAAGTCTCTCTGTAGCAGACGCTCATCTCGAGGAATTGGCATGGCCATTAAGCACCGGATGAGCTCGATCCGGACTTTGCTCTTCTTGTTGGCAAAGGCAACCGTAGGGTAGAGCTCTCGGTGCTTCAGCGTCTCTTTGATGACATCAACTCGAAACTGCCCACGGCACCTGCGAGAGTCCACGGTGAATCTGACAAGGCCAAGCGAGGAGTCGTACATGGCTGTGATGGACTCCTCCTCGCATGAGCTTGGCTCGCACAGATCCAGGCCATCCTTGCTCAGCTGCTGACCTCGGGGCTGACACTTGAGAAAAAACCACACGCAACAAACCTGCAGCAAACCTGCAACGCACTCACGCAATGCCTGTGAGACTTCCTAAGCCACACAGCAAAAGAACTCAAAAGGCGAAGGTTTGCTGCTCTTAGCGACCGAGGATGTTGATCTCCCCGTCGTAAGCGTCGCAGACGGCGAGGTTCTCACATTCCAGAATGTCCACCTCTTCCATTCTGACGTCAGCTGTTCCAAACCCCAGGCCAAGAACCGTGCCCCCATTCGGACCGCAGACATGTGTAAACACGAAGCGCACTTCCCATAACTCCTGCTGGCTTCCCAGCGTCCACTGCACTAGGCGGCCCAGGTCATCGTCAACAAGCTGGTACACTTCCAAATGGTCGGCAGACGTGTGGACCTGCTTGCCACACCGCCGTATCGTCAATGGCATTGCAAAGGAATGCTTAAAGGGAGGCCAACTCTGTTATTCTAAACGGTTCTGTTTGTCTTATTTTTGCAGTCCTACTTCCAACAGGGTTTCCTACGCAATGTCACTGCAACTGCCATCTGCGCATCACCCTTCTTTCAACGCCCTTCCCTGGTTTGGAAAAGGGGTTTTCGACACAACGTGGTCGTAACTACCATATCCATAGCTGGCATGTCAGAACTCGTTCTTGACCTTGAGCCGCACAAGTTCATGGCTGTGAGCAGCAAGACACCTACTAGTCAAGACGTGAGGGATCAAGCGATGCGACGCATGGCGGCCTGTGGTGGAGCTGCTGACAGCGCCCGCGCGATGCGGCCGGCAAGGAAATGCGTCTTGCCACTGCCAGGGCCGGCGAGGACAAGGAGTGGACGGTTCAGCCTCAGAGGTGTGGCCATGTGCGGAATGCCGGATCTGACTTAACAACGCCCATACGCTTCATTTCGATGTTGCTCCCATGCCCTCCACGCCCTCTCGCAGTGGGACGCTGGCGGCTCGTCAACCGCTGACTGCTGCTCCGGCGACATCCGGGGGAGCTGCGGCTGAGGCCTTTGTAAGCATCACATGAAGGGGGCTCGACTTTATCACAACAGATGGCCGCTTTCGGTCATGCTGAGAGGGCTGAGGGTCTGGCATAGTCCGCGGCTTCCTTGATACCTGCAGCAGCGCACCCTCTTGCAGTATTACAGTGCTGCCAGCAAGTCCTTCCACAAAGCGAACCCGATTGTTGAATCCTTGCCCCGGCATACGACTTCGCAGCCCACGCCCCCCAACTAACTAGATGCTCAACCAACATAGTCCGACTTTTTGCCCTATACTAGAGCTGTTTCAGCATCAACTATAAGGAGCCTTTAACGTCCAGTGGCCCGAAGCATTCTGACATCTGGGACATTCCCGCAGCGGACGTCACATTTCCCTCTGTGGCTGGTGCGTGGCGGCTGCTTGCAACTTGAAAGCGAAATGTCGACGCTCCAAGGTGATGCTTGTGCCGTTTTTATCGTTTTCTGCGTGTCCCCTTCGTTCAGGCCCATCGGTTTACAGGAGCCTGCTTATCGTTCTGTACATCAAAGCCACTCCCCCCCCCCCCCCGCCCAAGCCATAATCTACTGAAACTAATGTTCAACAACCCCTTGCCAAAAACTCTGGTCGTCCATATGGGCTTCCCATCACTGACTTGAGTGTCCAACCCTTGCTGGTTGCTGTTCTGTTGTTGGACCCATCCTCAATCCCTCCGCATTGCATGCTCAAGCAGAAGCAAACCTTTGTAATACTTCAGTACAGGTCGTTGCGGCGACACTTCTCCAAGCTAGGCATACCAGCAGACAGCAACAGCTGGCTTGCACATAAAGGTGGTTGATGCAAAGAAACCAAGTACGGTACAAGTTCATGCATCCAACGTTCGTAATGTCCATCCTTGTATGTGAAGTTCACGCTAGCTTGCCATCAACGTTTGCACTGTTACAGGGGTAGCGTGTCTAACATGCACAAGGTGCTACGGAAACTGGACTGACTGTTGAAAGGGTTGGGATAGACTAGCTATAATACCTTGGCACAGATGCACCAGCAACATTGAAGCTGCAGGTCAAACGCTCGATGTTTAGGAAACTGTTGCTTGCTATGAATGAGTCCGAATAGAGCGTTGACAGGAACTCCAGCTGATGGTGAAGGACAGAATGCATTTCGCTTGCACTTGTACGCAGCTGGCAAGGATTCGGGACGGTCCATCATACGAGGAGCTGGCTTCAGATCTCCACTATCTCAGTCAGTCCCAGATTTCAACTCATGAGACGATACCGCAGTACTAGACGTAGAAGAGCAGCAGGGCAGCGACGGCGACATGTAAAAGCATGGAGGCACGTTTCTTCCTGTCGCGTATCATGGAAGTGTGAAAGACAGCGAAGCAATGTGAATTCAATGGCCAAGCATGGGGCGTGTGTGTCCCTTCCGGAGACGTCGGGCAAGACTTTGATCATTAAGGGGATGCCACCACCACACATATAGAGTAGACGTGTATCAACATGGGAGCTTTGAGCGTGTAGGGCATGAAACTAGTGTATGGGTGCGCAACGATGCGAGAGAGGACGCTGCGCTCCTCTTCCAGGAACCCCGCTGGCATCTCCCTGGCTGCGCATGCTGCGCTCTGCGGCCCGCTGGCAGCCTGAAAGACTGCTTTAACCGCACGTAAGAAGGACGCGGCGGCGCGTAGTGCGTGAGTCGTCAGCACAATGAAGCTCACGCACGCCCTTCCCCCAGCCTGCCCCATGTTCCCGAAGCACGGATCAGGATCAGAGTGGCCAGGTCGCGGCGCCCATGTCGCCTAACTTTGTCATTGAGTTTCCAGGGTGCTTCACGACGTTCAAGAAACAGCTCTCCGGAGGTTTTTGCCCCGGCCTGCGGTGAGGCGACGGGCCGAGAAGGCTCTTCAGCGCATCGTTTCCGCGCGCCTGAGATTTTCCGGATGCAAGTTTCAGCACTCCAGGCATGCGCCCATCGAACCATGAACGTCTGGTCCAGATGGCATTGGGGTTACTGCATCTTCGTCCTTCCGCTTCGGGCTATCGTTCCTCATTTTTCTAAAACATCGATGCCTTAACTCTGTTTTTTATCGTGCTGGGATGTCCTGCATGTCTTCATGTGTAGCTGCCGATGGGACAGGGGATCACAATGCTTGTGGCTGATTGTCTATGCACTCTTTCTTGTGCTTCTGACTTAACTTTTCTTGCTCTCATTTCCTGCGTTTGCTTCTTCTTCTACTACTACTTCTTCTTCTTCTCCTTCTTCTTCTTCTTCTTCTTCTTCTTCTGCTTCTCCTTCTTCTTCTTCTGCTTCTCCTTCTTCTTCTTCTGCTTCTTCTTCTTCTTCTTCTTCTTCTTCTTCTTCTTCTTCTTCTTCTTCTTCTTCCAGTCCTCTGTCTCGTTCTCTGTCAGCCCGTTCTTATGTCTTGTCCTTACACTCTTAACAATGCGGCAGGCGTACCGGGGGCAAACGAGAGGCGTGACTCGTTTTGTGAGCCTGAGAAGCGCGACTTCAGGCCTGTTGGGGCCTCTTCTCAGAAATTGAGACTTTAGAATTCTTCTAGAAGCCATCATGTTGGATTGAACGCATTGAAACAACTCGTGGACTTTTGCTGACAGCAGAGAAGTCAAAAGACCCTCTCTGAGTTCGATGCGGGGACCAGTCGCCAGGGGCACCTTAGGTATGCTCACACCGGTGCACTGCCAGTTTTGCACCTGCCCACCGCAGCTGGTGCGCACCATTCTTTCCGATAGACAGGTAGACGCATGCAGCACGCTGTTACAGCGCAAGATGCCCCCCTCCCCTACCCGCCGACCCCTGCCCCAACCCAGTGTCCCCGGAGTGCCCAGTTCCAGAGTCTCCCTGGAGTGCCCAACCCCAGAGCTCGAGTGCCCAGCCCCAGACTGTTGCTGGAGTGTCCCCCCCCGACCGCAACAAAAACCAGAGCAGAAGTGGATTTCGTGCAGGGCACGAAACAACCAGGCGCCAGACGCGCGAGTAACCAACTAATGCTCATCAACCCCTTGCCAAAATTCTCCCTGTCAATTATGACTGTCGTACACATGGGCTTCCCATCACTGTCTTGAGTGTCCAAGCCTTGCTGGTTGCTGCTCTGTTGTTGGACCCATCCGCCTTTGCATTCTTCATCAGAAGGAAATACTCTTAATACGTCAGCACGCGTCCTTGCTGCGACACTTCCCCGAACTGGCAGACCAGCAGGAACCAAACATGACATTTATGCCAGTTCGCTGCAGCTAGCTGATGTGCAATACAGTCGACCAGACAGAATGCAGCAGCAGCAGCAGCAGCAGCAGCAGCAGCAGCAGCAGCAGCAGCAGCAGCCATGTGGGATACAAAGAAACCAAATACGGTACAAGTTCATGCATCCAATGGTCGTCATGTTCATCACAGTACGTGACGTTCACGCTAGCTTGCCATCAACGTTTGCATTGTTACATGGGTCTAACATGCACAAAATGCTACAGAAACTGGACTGTTGATTTGTTTATAGTTTCACGAAATTTTATGACTTTTAGAGCTTTAGTTTCAAACAATCAGTTCGACTGTTTTTGCACTAGCATGATTATCATTATTATTTGTATCTTTTGTATCAAATGCAATTTGCTGTTTAAATAATTCGTTCTTTTACGAGCACTTCATGTTAATCGATTTCTCTTCAACGCTTTGAAGGGTTGGGATAGACTAGCTATAATACCTTGGCACAGATGCACCAGCAACATTAAAGTTGCAGGCCAAACGCCCGATGTTTAGGAAACTGTTGCTTGGTATGAATGAGTCCGAATAGAGCGTTGACAGGAAATCCAGCTGATGGTGAAGGACAGACGGCATTTCGCGTGCACGTGTACGCAGCTGGCAATCATACGAGGAGCTGGCTTCAGATCTCCACTATCTCAGTCAGTCCCAGATTTCAACTCATGAGACGATACCGCAGTACTAGACGTAGAAGAGCAGCAGGGCAGCGACGGCAGTACAAGCATGGAGGCACGTTTCTTTCCTGTCGCGAATCATGGAAGTGTGAAAGACAGCGAAGCAATGTGAATTCAATGGGCGTTAGTGTCCCTTCCGGAGACGTCGGGCAAGACTTTGATCATTAAGGGGATGCCACCACCACACATATAGAGTAGACGTGTATCAACATGGGAGCTTTGAGCGTGTAGGGCATGAAACTGGTGCATGGGCGCGCAACGATGTGAGAATGGACGCTGCGCTCCTCTTCCAGGAACCCCGCTGGCATCTCCCTGGCTGCGCATGCTGCGCTCTGCGGCCTGCCGGCAGCCTGAAAGACTGCTTTAACCGCACGTAAGAAGGACGCGGCGGCGCGTAGTGCGTGAGTCGTCAGCACAATGACGCTCACGCACGCCCTTCCCCCAGCCTGCAGCATGTTCCCGAAGCACGGATCAGGATCAGAGTGACAAGGTCGCGGCGCCCATGTCGCCTAACTCTGTCATTGAGCTTCCAGGGTGCTTCATGACGTGCAAGAAACAGCTCTCCGGGGTTTTTGGCCCGGCCTGCGGTGAGGCGACGGGCCGAGAAGGCTCTTCAGCGCACCGCTTCCGCGCGCCTGAGATTTTCCGGATGCAAGTTTCAGCACTCCAGGCATGCGCCCATCGAACCATGAACGTTTGGTCCAGATGGCATTGGGGATACTGCATCTTCGTCCTTTCGCTTCGGGCTGTCGTTCCTCATTTTTCTAAAACATCGATGCCTTAACTCTGTTTTTTATCGTGCTGGGATGTCCTGCATGTCTTCATGTGTAGCTGCCGATGGGACAGGGGATCACAATGCTTGTGGCTGATTGTCTATGCACTCTTTCTTGTGCTTCTGACTTAACTTTTCTTGCTCTCATTTCCTGCGTTTGCTTCTTCTTCTACTACTACTTCTTCTTCTTCTCCTTCTTCTTCTTCTTCTTCTTCTTCTTCTGCTTCTCCTTCTTCTTCTTCTGCTTCTCCTTCTTCTTCTTCTGCTTCTTCTTCTTCTTCTTCTTCTTATTCTTCTTCTTCTTCTTCTTCTTCTTCTTCTTCTTCTTCTTCTTCTTCTTCTTCTTCTTCTTCTTCTTCTTCTTCTTCTTCTTCTTCTTCTTCTTCTTCTTCTTCTTCTTCTTCTTCTTCTTCTTCTTCTTCTTCTCCTTCTTCTTCTTCTTCTTCTTCTTCTTCTTCTTCTGCTTTCTTTCTTTCTTTCTTCTGCTTCTCCTTCTCCTTCTCCTTCTTCTTCTTCTTCTCCTTCTTCTTCTTCTTCTTCTTCTTCTTCTTCTTCTTCTTCCAGTCCTCTGTCTCGTTCTCTGTCAGCCCGTTCTTATGTCTTGTCCTTACAACTTCAGGCCTGTTGGGGCCTCTTCTCAGAAATTGAGACTTTAGAATTCTTCTAGAAGCCATCATGTTGGATTGAACGCATTGAAACAACTCGTGGACTTTTGCTGACAGCAGAGAAGTCAAAAGACCCTCTCTGAGTTCGATGCGGGGACCAGTCGCCAAGGGCACCTTAGGTATGCTCACACCGGTGCACTGCCAGTTTTGCACCTGCCCACCGCAGCTGGTTTAGGAAGACACATGCGGCATTCACTTCCGGGCTTGGTCAGGCTGGGCCAGTGGCGCTCTGTCGATGGCTGGCGCCGAAAAGAAGATTCTGCGGTGCCGGGCACGGGCGCATAGACCCTCGCGCAGTGATGTCGATGATCCAGGTTGGGTGAGGCATCAAAAAGCGTTTTAGGATCAAAGAACATTTGCTATTTTGGGCTAGCAAGCTCCTCCATCCCCCTCCGCCAATTGCAAACGCAATGCTCGCATGATGGGGTTTCGAAGGAACTTTCATCGATGGCATGACATTCTCGGAAGCAAGTTCGTGGGACTGCACACCCGCGATTTTCAAACAAATTGGCAGGAGCACGATGGGTTTGGACGGCGCGACATTCGTTGAAACAAGTTTGTGTGACAAAAAGAATGAAGCGGCCAGTTACAAGCCCAATGCTTTGTAGGGATGGGTTTTGGAAAGGATTCGTAAGGGTTTGATGGAGCGTCCTTTGGCTGACACGCGCTTTTGGAAATGATTCTCATAGGAGCAAGTTTGTAGTGCGAAGAAGGGTGGGAGGGCGAGTTTGGAGGGGAGATGTTTCTCGAAGCCACTCCTCTTGGCGGCATGATGTCGCTCAAAACAAGATAGCACGGCTGGCAGGCGTATGCCAAAGAAAGACTGGGGCCTAGCCCCCCCCCCCCCCCATCCTCCGACAAACACAACGCACGCGCGACAGGTTTGGAAGGATTTGCATGCTTTTTTTGCAGCACATTTCTCTGACATAGGTTGTTCAACGGAAGCGTGCACGGCCGACTTACTTCCTTCCTTCCCTATAGTTTGTTGTATCCAGTAAAAGTTTTTGCTGAAAAAACCCAGGAAGCCCTTTTCAGGGCGGTCACAGCTCCCTCTAGCCTTGTGTCGAGTAGGCCATGGATTAGCACAGTCAACCATCTCTATCGACGTAGATCGGAGAAGCGACAAACGCAGCACTGCTTCAACATCCTTGGACGAAGAAACCAGCACCCCAAACTCAAGGCCAACATTCCACGATTTCGAAAGCTTTCAAACCCTGCTCACACCAGCAAAACTTGGATGTTGCATGTTTACATAAAGGGCGCGTTCTTGTTTACCCGTCAGAGACTGAACAGCTACCTCATGAGGTTGGATTCAGGCCTTGAGGGGCCCTCTGATCGTGGAGCTGTGTTTGCGCGAGATAGGTTGGCTACATGAACAGGCTCGCATTGGGCAGGTGGGGACATGTTGGGACACTTCGGCAATCCGCACTCTGCAAGGTGACCGAACAGAGTCTTGCCTTCCCCAGTGAGGCCCTGAGCTTCAAGGTAAGCATCCACAGCTGCAAACGGTGACTCACCTTAGAATGTTGGAGATGGCGTGCCACAGCATGCGCGCAGCCCTGAGTGCACGGAACTCTCCCCTCATAGTCCTCATTGCAATCCACGTTCTGCGGTACCCTGCTTAGGCCTTGGGACCAAAAGGATTTGAAACCGGGGGCCCGGCGGAAGCGTGCCATCGCCGGCCCGCGACTTCGGTCTTGAATTGAGCTCTCCAGCCAAATGTCTTATGCAGTACGGCAGGTGTCAGGCAGATGTGCAAAGGGATACCTTGCAAGCCACTCAGGCTCCCGGAAAGCTTCCTTCACTTTCGCGCGCTCTTGAGAAAGGAGCACGCGCGAAACACTTCGCCCACAGAGCTCCCTGAGTCGCTCCCTGAGTTCTTCGTTCTTCTTTTGAATCCAAGTTCTGCAGGCTTGGGTGGAAGGTGACGGCACAAGGCCTGTCAAGGCGCCCGAGTCACTCTGGAGCCTCCTTTGCCCTTAAACTAAGTCACCCCTCCCCCAGGGTGGGGGAGGAGCCGTCTCTCGACACTCGAAAGACGAATCACAAAAATCGTGCAGTTGCTCTGTCGTGGCACACTCTTGTCCTCGGGGAGGTCAGCTGGCCACACCTCGGCTTCAAGTCAGCCGAAAAGTCAGAGCACTTTTACACTTGGGATGCCCCCACTCTGTCTCTAAGCGGGTGGCCAGACATCATGAAGTGGAGAAAAGGAGTGCACATCAGGTGGAAAACTCCGTGGCTCCATCCTCCACATTCTCATTACTGCATGGCAAGACAGGTGATGCATGGCAATACGGGGACTCAGGATGAACCGATACATGCTGTCTACTCCGCTCAGATCGGCAGAAGCAGTGAAGAAAAAACTCACCGCCCAAGGCGGCACAGAGCGGGCGTGAAAGTGACTCGGGTGCCCAAGGTAACCAAAATCCAAAAGAAAAAGCAAAACGAGCGCAACAAGGTCTCTGGGTCACTCAGTTCACCCCATCCTCCTCCTAAGTTCAAGTAGCTTCCAACGATGAAAAAGAAGCACGCACCCAGCCACGACCTGCTCAAAGGACAAGGTGCTTTGTCATGGGGCTCAGACACTCACCTGGGTCACCATTCTTTTGGGCCCCGGCGAGATGACGGCTATGTAATGGAAATAGTCGCCACGAAAAAGCATCGGGAGCGTGTACAGAAACACCTTCGGCTCACAAATGGAAAGGCCCGACTGCGTTTTGGCTTGACGAGCTGTGCCGACTATCGCGCATGTTGCTTCGAAAGAGCTCGAAAATGCCACCCACATACACCGTCTCACAACGGCATCCACCGGCCGCTAATGTTTGGTTCCATTATTCGTGAATGCGACGTCGAGCTTCCATGCCCACAAAATGAAGCTTTTGGCATTGCGAGTACGGCTCGAAAACAAACACGCTTCTCGGGAAATGGAACGCCTCCGAATGCCAGAAGATGTTCGGATGGTTGCTTCTTATTCTGGATTCCAGCATGCTTCTGCCTGTCCAATGAGGACACTTAAGACCCGAGATGATCGAAGACAAAAAGCAATCTTTGATGCGAGCATCTCGTTCTCCACGCTTCTGCAAACAAGTGTCTATAGCAATGCAATGCATAGCAATTTACACCCTCATATACATTGAGGCCGAGGCAAGGCAGGTCACGCGGATGTTCTCGTCAATTCCACCAGGTCTGCCATGCTTCTCAAGGCTTCAAATTTGTTCGCACTGGCAGCCAATGTCAAATGGTGCCTTCCATACACGAGGCGGCGGAGGAGTATGAAAATGCCTCAAAGCGATCTGCGAATGCGCCGACATGGCGGAATCATGGCGGGAATGAGCTGCCACAAACTAGGCTGCACGCATGGCACGTCGAGGGCGGCCACGAGGAGGGCGAAGGCCATGCTTCCATTGCTAAGGGCCCAGGCGAAGATGACGCAAGCTGCCAGGGTTGCAGGGATCAAGGCATGAGGCGATGGCGAGTGGTTCGGTTCCGGGTGGAAATCACTTGCGCCAACCACTTCGGAAAGCCCCAAAAGTTCCAAACCATCCAACCTTAGCAGCAACGACCCCCACAAGCGCAGGGAAGTGGCATATGTGGATGGCAGATATGTCCATCGTCCGAAATGGCGTGCACATCGGATCATAGCCGCTGCGCCTGGGCTGACTGCTGGGAAGCTTAGCACGCCTGTTCTCGATGTGCTCTTATTTTCCGGAAAGCGCAACTAGTACCGGTCGTCTCTTCCTTCTCTCTTCCTTCCAACCCACACTGGTGCAGCCCAATAGAAAAACAGCGATTCCTGACGAGCTGAGTGCGGGGGGGGGGAACAGGGGAGCATCGCTGCTCGCTGCTCAAGCTCAGTGGCTCTGTCCACCCTCTCCTCCTCGAACCTCCCTAGCCTCCTTCCTCGTGCGTCCATGTGCGGCTTCGTACCGGTAAGAGCAAGGAAACGCCATGTTGCTCAGGAGGAAAAACTACCGCGGCCGGCACACAACTCCCCCATCGAAGTCCCGCTCATGTTCTATGTCCAGCTGCAGCCTTCGAGAACCTTCTTTCTATGCCTCTCCCCCCGGCGTAGAAAGGCCCCAGGAATTTTGATGCATGTTGAGTCTGCGGAGCTGCTGTGCCACGTCTTTGGCTGCTTTCTCCATCTCCTTCTTTCCGGGGTTGGTAGTCCAGTTCGCCGCATCCCTTCGAGTTTTCGCAAGCCACAGATGGCCACAGTTCTCGACTGTCAACCATCACCCCAACTGTCAAATTGATCATGATCAAGGAGCTGGTCCAGCACGGCAGAGGCGAGATGATAGGCCACACTGAAGGGGCAATGCATCCAGGTGCCGATTGCCAGAGCCCAGACACCTTGCAAGACTTCTGAGACGACTGCCTGCGACCACACGAACCGAAGTTCTTAGCCCTTCGCTGCGAATGCCTTGCTGAGTTTGGAAGAGCAACGCGTGGCAACATTACACTCTAGCACAAAGGAATTGGCCAGCGCAGAAAACAGGGACAAACAACAGGCCAACAGTGACACGAGTGCCCAATAGTTGCTCATGCTTCTCACGTCCCTCCTTGTCAAATGCGCATAATCACTCTGGCGTTGGTTTTGCAGCATCTGCAGCTTAGGGGGGGGGGGCATGCGTACCCGGCTGATGCTCATGCTGCAAACCTTCCACCTTGTCAAATGCGCAGAATCACAAAGGCAGTTGGTTTTGCAGCATCTGGTGCTGGGGGGGGGGGGAGGGCCATGTGTGCCCGGCTGATGCTCAGGATGTTCATGATGCTCACCTCCCGCCTTGTCAAAAGCACAAGATCACTGGGGCAGCTGGTTTTGCAGCATTTGGAGCGTACGGGGGCCAGAGGTCCGGAAGTGTACCTGGAACTTGGGGGGGGGGGGGGGGGGGGGGGGGGGGGCATCAAGTTCCTGCCCATTCCTGGCACGGAACACTTCCATCTTCTTGGCGCGGCCTTCCGAAAAAGTGCGAACTTGTTGTAAGTCCGCTTGTTTCCATGCAATTTGGCTCGACCAACTCGAGGTGCGCCGCTGGGACCGACGTGCACATGGCTGGGGCGGGGCAGGCTGCCGCGCGGCGCACGAACGCGTTTGAGGGGCGAGTGCCAGAAGGCACTAAGTAGGGTGATGTCATGCGTCCAAATACACTGTAACATGCTCCTCGTGCATGAGAGGCTTGGGCTTGGGTTTCGCTTGTTCTGGTTCGGATGGCCTCAGCCCCCAAAGTCTTGGGGATGTGATGGTCAAGGAAGTGTGCCGGGTGCCAAGTGATACGTTGAGTGATACACTGGCGTTAGCGTCACACAAGGGTTTCGGGTCGTGGGGGATGTAGATACTGTGGTTCTTCATCTCCACCATAACTATCACCATTGCCATCATCACCATCAGCATTGGCACCACGGTCGTCCTGATCATCTCATCGTGGCGCCGACTGGCAAACTAGTCGGGGCAGCACGCAGCATGCACCACGAGGGCGCCACGGAGAAGGGAAAATCATCACGAGCCCAAGAACACATCAGAACAGCATCTGGTTAGCAAGAGCTACAAGTACGATTTGGGGATATGCGGGATAACCAAATGACGATGAGATGCCTGGTCTGCTAGCAGAACAATGCTACTCTCCACATCTGGTCATCTGCGCCTTCTGGGAAAACTGCGTTGGAGGCAAGGTCGGGCACGGCATGGTAGGCATAAATGGAGGGCACCGTCATGGACAATGCACTGAAGACCTGCTGCACGCAAGGCCACCGAGTGCCACAGAAGGCTTCGCAGCTTGAAACTTTGGCTCGGATTGGCTTCTTGCAGACTGTTCCTCCATTGCCACGTTCTTAAAGGCTCATCGAGGCTTCGTCTGTCTGCCCGGTGTGCCTCTGGCCAGAACTTGGATCCGATCTCAAACTCCCTCGGCAACAGGTCCGCAAGAAACTTCTCAACTAAACATCAACTGGAAACGCTGGAAAGCTCAAAGCTCTTGAGCCAGTGGTTTTCTCTTGTGTTGCCAAGCTACAGCTCGAGGAATTGCAGGAAGGACCCCAGGAAGAGTGAACGGGGCGCCTCTGCACAGACTCTGGAAATTCACTGGAATCACTTCCTCGCAACCACCGCAAACAAAACCGGGAAAACTTCCCAGGCCTTCCTGGCCTTGAGGCAAGGTGAGGATTTATCCCGGCACGGGCTCTCGAAGCCCCGACCTGCCGATAAAAAGAAAACGCGCCCCGCTTGGAAATAGAAAGATCACAAAAAATCACAAGGAAACGTTGACAATCTCAGGGGCAGTAAAAAGCCGGAAGGACTGCCATGACTGGCCTGCTTTGCCCCTCCTTGATCTTGTTTCTGCGCACGTAGCCATTTGCTGGAAGCACTTTGGCCGGCAGCTTGAGACAGAACCGATGGTGTCTGAGCAGAGCTCGTGAACTGCTCCAGCAGATTGTCATGCCTAGTTGCTCGATGACCATACCCTTCCGCGGCTGAGCACCTTTCAGGTTTGTGGTCCCATGTGCTTCGATCTGCACAAACTTCATGCATGATGACCGCTGAAAAAACAAACACCCGGCAAGCACGAACAGTCAGACCACCAACGATTCAACGCTTCGCTGCTTCCCTAACGCCTTGTGAGAGCCGGGTGGACAAAGCCTTTGTGCACTCCTTTTTTTCCTCCCCGCAGCCAGATTTCCAGACCAGGACTCTGCAATCCTCGGTCGTCTGCCAGCCATGGCACTCGCGGCAAACCTGAAGCGAACTGCGACCCCAAGACTCCCCCAAGACTGCGGGCGGAACTCCGAGCATCTCCGAACCCTTCCAGCCTTCTCGACGCGATAGTTGAACGTTTTGAGGTTGGTGCCCTTCGTCTCCTCAACTTGAGACGGACCCCGGGAGCTCTTCGTTTCGTTCATCTCCAAAGTTCGTGCGCTACTGGGCCACTGGGATCGTGCAAGAGCCAGGCGCGCACTGTGCCAGGCTGCGGTATTTGCAGTCGAACGGCTGCGAGTCGTTGCGCCAAGAGGGCATTGGAGGGCCGATCCGAAGCACCGTAGAGGAATGTCTGGCAAGGGCAAAGCAAAGTGCGAACTAGTAACAGGGGTCGTTGAGAAGCTTTGAAGCACGGGGCGGTGGTGCCCAACCCTCCATCACTGCCGCTTCCACGGCCTGCAGGGGAGCCCACCATCCTAACTCCGTCATCATATCAACAGCATAGCGCCGGCAGAGTCTGTGATCTTTGCAGACTTCAAAAGGAACAGGCCGGAACAAGTTCAGGTGCCTCGAACAAGGGGTCGACTGCATCATCTGCCCACAATAGGTCCTTTGCAGGCGGCAAGGTGTGACTTCACGTTCTGAGGCCCTGGACCTCTCGTCGCTCCATTCCAAGCTGGCCCAGCCCCCTCAAGCTTTGCCGCCAGATGCCAGACAGGGACAGCGCTACCAACAATGATACTTAGCTTGAGTGATATGAAGTGAATATGAAGTGTCTGAAGGATGCAAGGGGACCGGCTCGCTAGGGCCGCTAGGGCACTGCTGACATTCTCCGGGGAAGCGACGGCTCCCAAGAGAAGGCCCGGATCCGGGTCGGCGAGGAGCCTTGCGCGAAACTGGAAGGCAAGCCAAAACTGTGCACCAACGTGTATAAGCCCCGCAACACTGCAAGCCCCGGACGAAGTTGCTGCTTCCAGGCCATCATCCTGGGCAGGTTTAACAGTCCGGGGCAAAGCTGGGGCAAAGCTCGGGCGAAGCTGGAAAGCTGGGGCAGAGCTGCTTTGCCAAAGGCAAAACTTGTGGGCGGCCCGGGCTCCGGGCCCAATCTAAGACTTCGGCCCGCACGGAGCCTGAAAAAGGCAGAGTCAGCAGAGCAGTTGAGCTTGCTTCTGACTTTTCACTCACTTTGGGGGAAGCGTTGGGTGACACCTCGGTACCCCAAACGAGAATAAACGCGAGAGGTGCGACGAGGCTCTGGGGCCGCAGCTCAGCTCGGCATTGACCTCTGAAAGAGAATAGAGAGGGCACTCTCTACACAAAACACGACACATACAAGTCAAGCATATAAACACTCAAAAGAACTGTACCTAGGTGGTATTTTTAAAAACAAATCAAAAAAAACATCAGTTTGATAAGCTTATCCTTTATAATATCCTAGGGGGAGAGCGGAGAACAAAAAACAGATGGGTTTCATGGAATCGGGGAGCTCGTGCCGAAAGGAACTTTGGTCAGAGCCGCGCGTTCACGCTTCGTGCGTCTCGTGGCGACTCCGAAGCCCCCGGCTCCGACTGCGATCGCAACTGCGATCGCAGGTTCATTGTTTCAGATACGTTCATCAACTACATGGCCAACTACTTCTGCGTGAGGCCCGTGCTAAGATTTTGATCATTCGCTTTCTGGGTCCCTCCCCCCAAGAATCCGAGGCCAGGGCATGGAGGCTCCTTGTCAAGGCTTCACAGACATCTTCCTTCAAGGGGCTGCGGCACAAAACCCCTGCCACCATACCAAGCCCATGCCCTCGGGAGCTTAAGTTCCTCGAGGTCGGTCACCAAACCCACGCAGCCGAGTGCGGCTGAGGTGGCCAAACCCAGAAGTCCGCGACCCGCCTGACTTCCAGACTTGTCGGCTCTGAGATTCTCTGACCCCATCAGGAGCTTCATTCCATCACTCAGTGCCTCGCGCCAATCTCGAGCACCGGACCTCCGACAATGCTGGCATGACATGGCATGAGGATCTAAAAGCAGCCGGCTGCAATAGGGCACAACAGTAGAGGGATCTGCCTTGGAGGAGAACTTAGCAGGACCCCGGTCCACTCCACTGACTCCCCGAGGCAGAGGTAGGGGAAGGATGAGATCGGGGAATCGGGGTGAAGGGAGAGGGGGACTGCAATCAAGAGGGGGATTTGGCCCAACGAAGCATGCTTAAACACAACACTTGCAGCGAAGCCCATTGTACTTTCGCGTGCTGTTCTACTCAAGTGATCTCAAGTGTGCAGAATGCTGGTGGCCCCATGTGACCACCAGAGCAGGGTCCCCAAGTCCCCAAGGCCTCGAAGTTCGGGCATGCCGAGCACCACACCTCAGTAAGAGGCCCGCTGGAAGAAGACAAGGAGCACAAGGAGCACAAGCCGTTGCAAGACCAGGACCTTCGGGGAAACGCGTCTACAATGAGTCTACAAGCGTTTGAGAAGGGCCCGGCCGAGGGCTGCCATGCAAGATCCGGAGACCACGCCTCCCAACACGGGCACGGGCCTCACAACAAACAGAAGGGAGAGGAGCGCTCTCGACAGTCGCTTGGAAACACAAAGCCGCATCGTGCTTAGCATGTGCCGTAGCACTGCCGATTCGACAGAAAGGTCAGAAAGGGGCCGTCTTGGTGCCACCAGACTCAGCGGCATCAAGCCGGCAACCTGCCAGGTGAGAGAGAGAAAGTGATCGAAGCTTGACACAAAAACAAAATGCAGCGTGATGCGACATCGCAGTCCATCTCAAACGCCCCAAAATGTCCGGAAGCAAGCCAGGAAGGCGGAGACCCTCAGGCCTGGCGCAGACCCCACCATGCCTTGCCATGCCTTGCCTCATGTCCTTGCTTCCTGCGATCCTCACCCGCAGCACAAGGCATCAATGCCTTCCGTGACATCTTCCGTGGAGATCTTCAGCACTGCATCCCGCGACGCAGCCTCGGCGGCCTCGGCTGCGCAGCGGTGAAGGGGAAAGGGAATATTAACTTTCATGAGCCTCCATTGCACGGGATGAGGGGATGGGGAATCAAAAAAAGGACTCAATCAATTAGGACGACTCGTGGATCACAAAATCAATTGAATCAACACCATTCGAATTCTTGGTTCGCAAGTGCACAAAAACACGGAAAATTACAGCATTGCTACTGGGGGGGGTGGTGGGGGCGGGGGCAGCAAGGGCAGTGAGGGGGGCTTGGGCATGCACTGGAGCCCTTAAAACACTCCATTACTAACAGCAAAGCAGCGCGGGGGGGGGGGTCGGGCATGCACTAGAGCCCTAACAACACGTCATTACTAACGCGTCAGGCGCAGTGAGGGTAAGAGGTGGGGGCAAGGGGGGAAGGGACGCGGGGGGGGGGTCGAGGGGGCGAAGGGGACGGGGCAGCAAGGGGTGGGAGCTCTTAAAACACCATTGCTCTATTACTAACGCGTCAGGGGGCAGCGAAGGTAAGGGGCAAGGGGCTAACAGCAGCGGCAGCGGGGCAGGGGGCGGGGTCAGGCAGGCACCAAGAGGTGGGGGTTAAGGGGGAGGACGGGGAGGGCGGGAAGGGTGGGGGGGGATGGAGGGGGCGGGGGCAGCAAGGGCAGCGAGGGGGGGGCTTGGGCATGCACTGCAAAACACTCCAAAACGAACAGCAAAGCAGCGGGGGGGGGGGCGGGGTTGGGCATGCACTAGAGCCCTAACAACACGTCGTTACTAACGCGTCAGGGCACAGTGAGGGTAGGAGGTGGGGGCAAGGGGGGAATGCCTCTTGCCAGCTCCAAATATTGTAAAGATCAGCATTCCTGGCTTTTCCAAGGCTTCAATATGATGAAACACCACATGTCTGCTTATTCGCAAACTCGAAATACTTCAACAATCGCACAACATTTCCACACCGTTTCGACCTACTCGCATACGCTAAGATATGGATGGCTTGCAGCGGCCATTTGCAACCCCGTAACATGGCTTGGGGCTGAGGCCAACATGCTCGGCGACTAACACATATGGCTTGGCTTTTGTCTTGGCATTGTCATGGCAGTAAGGGGCCGAACGCGATGGGGGCAGGGAGAGGGAACCCTCCGCCCCACCAGTGTTAACAATGTCAATACAGCCTTTCTTGGATTCGCCAATGTGCTCACCCTTGAAAAATGTCTCTACTTGACCCTCTTGACCCTTGAGGTGCTTTCCGTCTTTTTTGCGAGGCCCTATGAAATCAAGCAACGACGATCCCGCTCCCTCTGCGAAAGCACGAAAAGCAACAATCACTCTCATGGGCCATGACTGTACCTCGTCAACCACACCATGATCATAAGCAGGGAGATTGGATTTTGGCGAGGTCGCCAAGAGCAGCGTACCGAAACAGCACAGTCAACGACTAGCGACTTTCATGCACGGACGTTTGCATGCGGAAAGGCGAGATATCCTCTACCCCCTCGAACTGAACCTCTGAAGCTCTGCCTGACCAAGCTTCCGGCGGAAACGTAAAAGTCATGTTGCCCCTTCTCCTGACGAAACGCTGGCATGCTCCGCATCACAACTCCAGAACCTTGATTCGAATCTTGTGGAGAGCACCCACACTGCAGGCTGGCTTGTGGAGATATGTGCCTGGCACTTGCAAGGCTGAGCGGCGGTGTCGGCTGGCTCGCACATGCTCGTGCATGGATGTCGGCAGTGCAAATGATCTGTTCATGGTTGTGAGGCTTGTGAGCAGACCCTTTCCAACAGGAGGTAGGATGAGGACGATCGTTGCAATTGCGTGGCGCTTGCTGAGCAGCCAGAGTGCTGGGCAAAATGGGAAGCTGGCATACTACATTGCTATACCAAGGCAACAGTCATGTGACGCAGCATGATGTGCTCCCTTGTGGCTGCAATCGGGTGCATTCTCTAGAGCACCGTGGTTGCGTGAAACTGCGACAACGATTAGCTCTGCATCTTGCAGACATCGTTCGTTCCTCCGGAACATGGTTTCACCTTGACGCCTTAAACGAGGCCTGTTCCAGGCTGTGCATATGTCAGTTAAAAAAATACCAAATGTACATCCTACCAACTAAGTCCTACACTAATCGGCGGGCCCGGGCATCTCACCATGCTGGCCTCATCAAATCCTCCTGGCTCGGGACAGCTGGATTTAGCTGGCGCCACCGGCGGAGGCCAACCACCACGCTCTTGAGGTACGTGCTCTTCGAATCAACGGAGTCACCCGACAGCACGCCGGGGAGTGCATCCCAGCGCAGAAAGCGATCCTTCACGATGATGCTGCGCCGGCGGCCTTCAACGGCATTAAGACGAGCCTCGAGGCCAACCAATTCCAAAGTTGGCAGCTCAAATTGCCACATCTGCGGTGCGGCTCCCTCCTCGTCGGGCTCACAGTCTGGTGCAAACTCCAGGCCCCGAACGGCCACCAGCAAGCCCCACAACAGTGCCACGGTCTCGGGTGCTGTGGCCGGCACAACCACCTCTGCCAGGGACCAAGGTTCCAGAAGGCCCGGCGCAGCAGCAGCGTCCAAGGCGGAGGCCAACAGCACGCGCCGTGCTACGGCGCTGCAGTCACGGGCCCAGCGGAAAGCTGGCTTCGAAACGCTCTCGTTCACCACGTTCCCCCCCTGCACCCCCTCCACCCCCTCCACCTCCGCCCGTGTCCTTAGAAGGCAGCCCAAGCCCATGCTATGCCATCAAACGGTGTCAGCGCGACACGAAAAAGAAAAACAAGAAGAGGGAGTGTTCAAGGTGTGTAGAATTGTGTTAACATGGAAGGGGTGGGCAGTGGGCGGTGGGCAGTCTTCACATGCCGGGCATCAGGCCCAGGTGGAAGCGGATCCCTCGCAGCGGCTCCTCGCAAATCGCACCCTCGGCTGAGGCCCAGCGGCAAGCCCCCGCCATGGCTGCTCCGGCCGAGCGGAGCTCGCATTCGCCTGGGACAGGATGGAGAGTGCAGAGTTGCGCGGCGGGCGCAGCGCGGCTTCGAACTCAAGAGCTCGGAAACGTGTGTGCAAGCTGTCCTACGCCTACGCTGTCCTACGCCTGCGCTGTCCTACGCTGCCGGGGGCTGAGGCGGGCGACCCCGAACGAAGATGTTGGTGCCACATCCATCTGCGGGGCCGCAGGCCCAAAGGTTCTGAGACTCTTGAAGAGGCCAGCCGTAGCGATCCGAAAGCATCAGCGCACGCTGGCGTGGTCTGGCCCGAGACAGCGGGCCACCCTTCAAGCACGGCACAACTTAGAACTGATTATAATTGATTACAACTTGCTTCGAACGCTTCGAACGCTTGGGAATGCTTGGGAATGGGAGCTCTGGCCTCCTCGAGTTCCTGGCAGATCTCCTCCTCGAGCCTCCTGAAATTGGACATTTGACGCTGTGCTGACGAAAAAAGCGCCCAGTTCAGGGGGACACTGAACGGGCTCCCCCGAGCTTTTTAAACGGAGGTCTCTGAGTGCCCGGCAGCGCTCGGGCCGTGCACCGCACGTCAACGGCAGCTCCCGCTGAGCTCTTCGTTTCGGGGCTGGAGGAGACGCAGTCTGAGGCAGCGCGTACTGTCTCCTTGTACTCGACGCCGTAACTCCAAGTGCTCAACCCACTCCGGGACGTCACGTACTGCGGCCTGTCGACGACCAGGTCGACCTGCAGAATTAGCTGCACGAGGCACATGAAAGCATCCGAAAACGACGTCGCAAGAATGCACCTAGGTCCTAGGCAAACAACCATGCGTATCGAGCTATATGCGTGTATGCGTGTGTACGTAGGTACATATGTAAGTATGTGCGTATGTATGTATACACATGCACTGATAAAGATGAAAGCATGACCAACTGGACTCTTTGGTCCCGGCCTCTTCCGACGAAGTGGCTGCAAGCTCGGCAGTGAGCCCCCCGATGCAGGTGCTGAGGTGAAGTTCTCCAAGGCCGGTGATGACGTGCTCACCCCACTCTTCCGCGCGGCAGCGCGCCACGGGATCGCAGGCACTGAGCTGCCGTAGGGCGGCCACCAGCTTGGGCAGGTCCTCTGCACGTTGCGGGCGAACCGAGACGCGCACCAGCGGCCGCAGCGGAGCGTTCGCGGCGACGCTTTGCAGGCAGGACTCGCTTGGAAGGCTTTCATCCAGCAGGGTTCCAGACTTGAAAATCAGGTTCGCAGGCCCTGCCACGAGGACCAGGTTCCCTGCCGGGACCGTCTCTATGGGCTCTGCAAATCCACCCAGTGGCAGCGCCAGCTGCTCGATCTGCTCAATCTGCTCGATGCGTCCACACTCTCCACTCGTACCGCCCGCACCGCTCGTGCAGCGCACCCGCTGACCTCTGCCAGCGCTGCCGCAGAAGACCCTGCCAAGCGCGTAGGCCTTGGTCGGCGTGGGCCATGTGGTGGCGGTCTTTACCAGGCGCGCCACGGCCAGAATCAACGGCCCCTCAGGCGAGCAGCGCTGCCTCGGGCGAATGTGAAGCACGGCATGATGGACCAGGTGATCCCTTGATCTCCCTGCACGCAAAGATGGACCGAATCACAAGTCACAAGTCATGATGTACAGATGTCCATGATTGCACTGATGTAGTGGACTTCTCGCCGTGTGGCAAGGCATCCGCGGGCTTCCCTTCGGGCGTCCCCAGAAAGAGGTGCTGCACACGGCCCGCGCCTTGCGCCTGAGCTGCAAACGAGATCGCCCTGAACACCCGGAAAAGCCTCCGAGCGGCGATGCTCGAGCACACAAACACAAAACTCCCGTGCCTGGCTTGGAGAGGGGAGCCTGAAGACGAGCTGGCACATCACCTCGAAGGCCAACAAGTCTGTGCATTTCTATGCGGGATTGAGAAGACTATGGAGAGATTCGGCTACATGCGTTTCGAAATCCATGTGGCGCGGCACTTCTCGCATCAGACTCCGAACGAAACACCACGTGCAACCCTGCCGACCGAATGACCACGTCTTAGTCTTGGTGCGCTTTCAATCGCATGCCCAAACGTTGCGGCGACCGCACACTGTGAAACACTAGGACTGAACATGACGAAACCATGTACAAAGTCACATGACTAAACCACATACTCGACTCCAGCAAAGTCGGACGGTGGACCTGGCTGGCATCCCCATCTGCCAGGCGCTTCATGATCTTTGTGACGAGCGAGTGGTAAGCCAGATATTTCTCCTCAAGCTGGGAGGCATTCGACGAAAAGGCGTTCATGTGAAAGGGATTTTTGCTGCTATGCCCCTCAGTAGCTCACAACACCGAATGCGGCATCATGAGCATCTGTGTCATGGTGGCATTACGCCCCTGTTTGGGAAGAGCTGCGGGCGCTTCCCAAGTTGCAAGCACAAAAGACAAAACGTGCTCTTTTTGCGCTTGCCCGGCCGGGCAAGGACCTAAGGATCAGGAGCCTCATCGGGATTATGGCTGCACTGTTCTGTCTCTTCCACCACTGCATGCGTTCCAGTTCACAACAATGCACATCCTACCAGGTGCATCAAGAGTGCCGCGGTTTTCATGGGGGTCGTACCCTGGGCGTTTGCCCAAGTCATTCACATCCGATGACTGCTTGAGAAGTTGGCAACAAGCACCCGAGCACAGACAACTAGCAAGTGCACCGAAGGCTTTGCACAGCCTGCTGACACTGCAAGGTTTTACTGCTAATCAAGGCGAACAAGGCTTCAGAGTCCAAGCTCATTTACGCTGGCTCAAGGTTTCGGGTATACGGGTCGGCTGCTCGGCGTCTTTGTCTTTACCCTCGACCGATCGCCGCCCATGTCTGCAGGACCAAGTGGGATTGGAAACTCCGAGGTGCACGGAAGTTGTGCTTGCTCACGTGCACCGAACCCCTAGCCCCCTAGCACGTGCGATTAAGCGCGGTGCCATGTGGCCGCCAAAACATGCCGAAACCTTGAATCCACAGGGCCAAGGCTCTCCGTAGCCCAGGGCTGGAAGTCTCAGCCTCTCGAGCATTGCACGCGCCAGCTCCCAGTCCTCCCGGAGAGAGTGATGGCAGGGAGCAACGCGTCACAAGCTTCGGTCGCTCTTCTTCCTCTTCTTCTCCTTCTCCTTCTCCTTCTCCTTCTCCTTCTCCTTCTCCTTCTTCTTCTTCTTCTTCTTCTTCTTCTTCTTCTTCTTCTTCTTCTTCTTCTTCTTCTTCTGGGCTTGGGGGTCGCGACGACGACGTCCGTCTCTCTTTCTCTCTTTCTCTCCCTCCCTCTCAAAACAAGTCCAAACAAGCAACCTGGCTGACCATCTTCACCACTCGGCGCACTGAGTATCTTGACGTCACGGCAAAAACGTATCAGCATCCCAAGATCGTGGCCTGCAAAACAGAACGCCTGCCGAACATCCCTCAAATTCAACATCTCCTCTCAACACCTCCTTTTTGTCCACATGGGGGGGTTTACGATATTAGGGGTGCCCTTATGCTAAGGGGATCCTACTATGTGTGGGGGGGGGGGGGGGGGGGGGGGGAATTCTTTCTTAGGGGTCCCCCCTGTGGTCGTGTTCCCCCAGATGTTCCCCCCCCACAAAACACCTGATGGCGGAAGGCCGAGCAGAGCTGCAGCAGCGGCTCCAGCACCAGGCGCCGCAGCAGAGGCTCCTCCCAACCAAAAAAACCCAGTAACTAAGGAGGCGAAGGAGGCGAAGGAGGCTTCTTTATTTTCGGTTTTTTGTGCCGGGAGCTCGAGCCCGGGGGCTTTGGGGCTTTTGGATTTTAGATTGTCTTGAGCACTGGCCAGCTGAGTGCCGGAAGCAGAAAGGTCTCAAGACGACCGCAGGGCCCCTTTCAACCCAGCAACGGATGAGGTCTTGGGTTGAGCATTTAGGGCTTGAAGCAGCCCAATGGGATGATTTGAAACATCCAATAAGCACACCTCGCTCCGCTTCCCTTGCTCCCCCTCTCTTCCTCTTCCTCTTCCTCTTCTTCTTCTTCTGCACACTGAAGGGCCCCCCAAAGACTCTCTCTCTCTCTGTCGCTCTCTGGCTCGCACCTCCTGCTCCTCGTCCTCATTGTCTGCCGTGTCCTCACGGGAGCTGCCGCCCTGAAGAAACTCGGAACGATCCAACCAACGGGCTATAACCCTGTCTTCTGAATCTTGCCAAGGCTCCTTGCTCGGCTCTGAATGGGTACTTGGAAACCCCACCCCCCCCGCCCCCACTCACATAGAAACAACCTAGACACCGACCACCAAGGTGCCCAACGCGCAGCGCTTACAATGAAGGCCTGGTACAACTACGAAAAGTGCGAAAAATCGCCATGTACCGCTCGCCTCGGAAAACCCCTAGGGCCATTTCATTTTGACATGAAGGAATAGGTCGCAGAGCGGTGCCTGTGCCCTCTCTGCGCGGCGACTGCCGCACCAAAGCCGACGGCTCAGAGCCTCAGCAACACATTTCGCCCACAGGTGTGCTGAGAACCAGAAGAATCAGCAAAAGGAGTGGGTTGAGGACTGCGACCTGAAAGTGGGAAGTCTGCAGACTCACGGGATCCGGCCACTGGCTCCATGCTTACTCGCTCACTAGAGCACGACATCTGAGGCGCGCACAGAGATTTTCAGCCCAGATCGGTCCTGCTTCCACTTCGTGTGGGTCCGGAACCGTCTTGGACCAGCAACCAGGTACACATCAAGCGCTGTCCATTCAGAAGGCTCCGTGCGGACAATCGTATGTCGAAGGCCCAGACACGTGAACAGGCACAAGCTTTTGTTACCTTGTCACATGACAATAGCCAGAGTGCACCAAAGTCAACTTCCTCCTGATCCCGATGCCTCCCGTAGCCTCCAAGAGTCCAAGAGCCTGCCCTGAAGCAACTGATGGCAGTCCTTGAAGTTCCGAGCCAGCAGGGGCAAAGAGATCATCCAGCCTGATTTGTTAAGCACGGAAACTCAAACTTGAACGGCGGGTTGGCAGAGACATGTTGGCAGGCCATGTTGGCTTTTGGCCTTGCGTGGTGCTTCCGAGGACGAGCTGGCCGAGCTCGGGTCGGATCTTGGGGGGCCAAATCGATCAAAAGGGCCAAAGGTTGGCTCTACATGGCTCTCTTCTGTCAAGTGATTGCACGGCTCATGTCGCAGCACGGCGGCGCGAACTTCACCCCGCGAGACCTCGTCCCCGGCAGTGGCCAAAACGGTATTCGCCTTAGTTGGGCTTAGTTCGATGCAGTTCGGCGAAGTTCGGCTCTTGCCTGGTCCACGACGGAGTGCATGAGATCCTCGAGCTGCTTGGCAGTGTACCGGCCTCCCCGCAGAGGAGAGTACTCTTCGTGACTCGAAAGAGGTCTTCCAGCTGTTTCCTGCTGAGGGCCGGTCCGTCCAAACAGCTGTCAAAGTGGCTGAAGAGCAGCGCCACCTTCCCCCGAAATCAAAGCCGAGAGCAAAGGAGGACTCCCTCCTGCACCTTCCGCCCTGTCTGCCCTCTGTTCGCCCTCTGTCCGCCCCTGTCTGACAGCCAAGAGCCAAAACCGGGGGGACCTGGAGGCGCTCCCCGGCGGCGCGCCGCAGCAGCGCCTCTTTTGGGAATGCTTTTGGTGGATCGAGAGCAGATTTCGGATCCTGGGGGACAAAATTGTGAGTCGGAGTTGTTCAAGAAAACGAGAGAAATCCGGCAACCCGTGGGCTCATGGAGAGCTCGGCGAGGATCTGAACTGAGGAACGCAGCTTACAGCAGCTCGCCTCGCTGTGCAGCGACAAGCCCTCCACTGGGTTTACCACCTGCAGTTCGACAGCAGAAACCCTTTTAGAGGCTAGGTTTGGTTGGCCCGCATACTTCTCCCTCCTTTCGGATCGAGGGTCCCATTTGTGGGGGGGGGGGGGCCATCCACAGATGTCCTCTGGCACCATCTGAGGGCTCGGCTAAGATTGCGCTGTCAGCCAAGCGCAGCGCTGCCTCAAGGAGGCAGTCATGCCAGTCATGCCAGTCACGCCAGTCATGCAACAGTCATGCCAGTTGGCAAGTTGGCAAGTTGGCAAGCCCTGCCTGCGCCTCACCCAGCAGGCTGCTTTGTCCTGGTGTGTCGATGAGGTAGCCTGTGAGCAGATTCAAGAGTCGAGCACTCAACAAAGCCTCTCAACCGCACCCAATCGTGCACTACCCGCTGCGACTTTCTCTGCGGCTGAGATGCACAACAAGGGCTCAGCGAGCGTGTTGCTCAGCTGGTCCAGATCACTCTGAAGCCTCTGCTCAGCTCTCCGTAAAGAATCACATACACATGTCATTGCACTCCGCACGCAGCTGCTTCTACTTGAAAATACACACAGTCGAAAGATGTTGATGGCAGCCAGGCGGCTCGTCCTCTGCATCTGCCTGGTCCAGTGTGCGCTGCGAAATTGGAGAAATATATATGAAATCGACTAACTAAAGCTTGCTACTTGCTACAACAGAAACGCGAGGCAAATTACTCCGAGAACATCTGCAAGGACTCTCAGCTCTTCTGGGCCATCTGTTTGTGGATCTTGTGTGTCGGCAGCACCGGTGTGACGCCTGCAATGTCAAGCCCACACCCTTCGAGAAGGTGGAGGTCCGCGCCCCCAAGAACTTCCCATCCAAGGACTTCCTCTGCTGAGTGTGCCAGTTCAGGAATCAGAAATCACCTCAACCTACCGGATTCCATGCCACCAACAAGTCAAAGCCATTGCCGCCGCCATGAGGCTTGAAGATGCGCGATGCGCGAGCGAGAGCGCTGAGCCCGGCGGAGCCCTGCTGTTTTCAAGAAATGCTCGCATCAATACGCCAGCCTGGGACTCTTAGTTCTGTGAGGCTGATCTATGTGGGTTTTGTTGAACAAGTCATGGCAGAAGATTCGAATCACCCGAAGCGCCAACTGTCACGTCGGCTTCTACAGCCTGCTGGAGCATAGGATGCTACAGTGTTTACAGTGTTACTACAGCTGGCCAACTCGTCTCGGCACCTCTCCACCGTGCAGCTGCGAGCTGCGAACTCGGGTGGGATTGCTGGAGCCTGACCGCCTGAGCAACGACAGGAGCGCTCGGACCCCTAGGAGCCTTAGGAGACAGATGTCTCTCCTCCTGCCACCCCAGAGCAAGGCCAAAGAGGGCTAAGCAGACAGATGCTCACAGAAGAGCATGTGCCATGAGAGCAGATCTGCAAAGATGTCTGCGCTTTGTTTGGCAAGACCCTGTTCACACATTCTGGGACCACGACAAGTAGTCTTCTTCACTCCAACGAAGAAATGCGAAGAGCAATGCGGAGCGCACTCAGCAGGATCGTGCTCTTCCACCTTTTTGGGGGGGGAGAAACCCGAGTAACCCGAGGCCCCGGCTTCGGTCCTGCACACGCCAAAAGTCACGTGAGTCTCGCGCAGCTCGCAGCTCTTCGTGAGGGGACCGAGGGGACCTCCTTTTGCCTCCCTTTTTGCCTCTTTTGAGGGGGCCCGAATTCTTCACTGCGCAGAGGCGCCTTCCGGCTTGTCCTTCGAGATGGCCTTTTTGTTTTTCAAGGCCCGGATGACTCGATGGGCACGGACCACCTTGGACGGAGTTGGAGGCTCTGGGCTGCTGGAACCTTGCGAACCATCTTGCTGTATGTCGTCCCTGTCTTAGCGACTTGACGACATTTGCAGCTCAGGGTCAGATTGAACTTCCAGCTCCAAAGTCTTCTGCTTCCTCGCAAAAGCACATCTGAGAATGCTGCGGGCTTGCAAAGACCAATACATCCATTGCAGTCGACAGGGAGTGCCGCCAAAACGCGTTGGCGACAGCGGCTGGGTCAAGGACTTCTGATTGGACTTGTCGGCCTGGACCGAGAAGTGAAAAGAAGTGGAGGAAGTGAAGGCAGTGGAGGCAACACAACAACAAAAACAAAAACACAAAAAAAAACACGCTCGCGGCAAGGGCAGGCCGAAGGAGATCAGAGGAGGTCTCGGGGGGGTACGTCTCGCGCGTCTCCTGGGGCCCTCGCCGACTGCCGGCGGGTGAGGATGTCCGGCTCCTTGACCTCCTCCTAAAACGATCTTTGCGCGCGAGGGCTTCATGAATTCTTCATGCCTAGGCCCTATGCCCTCTGCCCAAGCTGCACTCCTTCCCCGGGAACAGCAAGGTCTGAACTTCCAGCTGGACAGTTGGGGCCACCTCTGAACTCAACTCTTCGATGAATTCGAAGGTCTTGAGATGTGTGAGGCGCCCCAGAGTGCTCTCAGCTCTCAGCATTCTCAGCACAGCATTCTCAGCTCTCTCTGGGCCTTGGAGTTTGAAGTTTCCGGCGCCTGCCTCAGCGGCTCAGCCTCCTGCACCATACAAGTCCAACGGAAGCTTCAAGCCATATGGTCGGCTACGCTGCAGGGCTATGCTGCTATACGGTACGATTGAGGACGTCGGATGCCCTTGCGGCGATGTCTTGAAAACTCACCCGTCCTCAGTGCCTTGAATGCTGCGAGCGTGGAGAAGCTCGACCAAAGTGCTCTTGCCATGACCCCTGTCACCGACCACGCAGACCTGACAGCACAAGGGGAGTGCAATGGAGTGCAACACGTGCGACATGCCCATAGGCATCCACTGGCACGAGCAGCCGTGTGCTCTTGCGACTCTACGAGACAACATCGTCCACATCATGTCCACATCTCCACCGTCGAAGGGGAACGGGCTTCTGGCTGTTCTGGCTTGCACCAAGTGCTGACTGGGCACACACCTGATATGGGCCAGCTTGCTCTGAGCAGTTTGGATATCCTGCCGGCAGAGCTCCACCATTCGGCATATCCAGAGCGTGCTTTGTGATGCTTTGTGATGCTTTGTGGCTTCGCAGATGTCCATGGGCTCGGTTAGGGCCCTGGGCGGGCCTTGATCGAGCACGCTACCAGTTGCGAGCATGTCCAGAAGTGATTGTGTTGCTGGTCCCTGCTCTCTGGACAGGCAGGCATATGCCGCCTTCTGCTGAAAAGCTACAAATTCCATGGGTTGTGTCTGAGCCGGCTTTCAACCACAGAGCCGGGAACTACCCAAAGTGCATCTCACATACGACATATATGGGTACACGTAGGGTAAGGGGCCGGGATCCAGGGCAGCGATGCAGGGCAGGGATGCAGGGCAGGGATGCAACGTGCAGGGCAGGGCACAAGGAGGATTTTGACATCGCGGTTCGGCACAGCAGACCTCCGACTAGCGTGTTCTGGAGGGCCAGACTTGTGCCTGGGCTTGGCTATGACATGGTATGACTCAAGGCTATGGAAATGATGGTTGCCTCAGGCACTCGAATCACCAAAAGCTTCAGGATTCCCAGCATCGAGGACGTAGTACCCAAAGCTGTCTGCGTTCATCAGCGCTTTGCCCGGATCATCCCGCGCCAGGGCCTGGCATCTTGCCCTGCCGTATGCGATGTCGCAGTCGGAATCGGAGGAATCGGTTGGCACGTACTTGAACAGAGCCTCAGACGTCAAAAAGGAATCCCAAGATATCTCAACCAAACCGACCCTACAGAGCAGCTTAAACAAAGATGCAATAATGTTGCCTCGTCTGTTTTCCTTATCGTCTCAGGCGCCGCATCGCCAGATTGAGAGAAGCGCTGCAGTTGAAGGTAATAGGTGACCCGTGGGTCAAAGATGCTGTAAGAGAATGCCTGCTTGCAGATCGGCGCCTCAGATGCTGCAATCTTTAGCCGACTCACCATCCTTTCTGAGCCCAAGCCATGTCATTCCTTGGCGATTGGCCAGCCCCAAACACATCCCATAGAACACGTGTGACTTGCAAGCGCAGACACCGCCCCATCGTTCCAAGTGCCGACATCCTTATTGAAGCTGACCTGCAGGTCTGCCATGTCTGCCATCTCCGTCTAAACCAGCTTTTGCACAGCACAGCACTAATATACAAAAATGCTTCTGCATTTCTATTTGTATACTTACGTAATTTACAAAGTACCCTCTCTTGGGGCATGGCACTGACCGTCTCTCACTGGATTCCAGCGCTGTTCAGAATGTTAGAAGAGGTCCTAGAGTTTCAAGTCACAATTACATGTAGATGTGTTTTGGGCTTGTTTGGGTGCTTGGGGAACGTCGCTTGAAAGCGCCTGGCCATGCTCTGCGAAGCAGCCGCCAGGGTAGTCTTCAGTCGCAATCTCGGTTGTTCCCGAAAGCTTCAGCGAAGGGTTCTTCGGAGAAAAAAAACGTCAACCTACCATCACCACACTACAATCACCACACTCCAATCACCACACTACCATCACCACACTACCATCACCACACTACAATCACCACACTCCAATCTCCACACTACCATCACCACAGTACCATCACATCACTTCCGCTATTAAATTCTCTCTTATTTCTTAGGCTGGGGTGGGTTTCGCCGCGGCTAGCGCGATGCACCCCTCTGCGGGGATCGTGCGTGTCGGAGCGCTCCCGCTGTGCGTTTTTGCGCATTCAGATGTGCGCCCGCGCGCCCTCTGCGGGGATCGTGCGTGTCGGAGCGCTCCCGCTGTGCGTTTTTGCGCATGTGGATCTGCGCCCGCGCACCCTCTGCGGGGATCGTGCGTGTCGGAGCGCTCCCGCTGTGCGTTTTTGCGCATGTGGATTTGTGCCCGCGCACCCTCTGCGGGGATCGTGCGTGTCGGAGCGCTCCCGCTGTGCGTTTTTGCGCATTGTACAACTTGCTTCGCACACCCTCTGCGGGGATCGTGCGTGTCGGAGCGCTACCGCTGTGCGTTTTTGCGTATTTTCAAGCGTGGTCGTGCACCCTCTGCGGGGATCGTGCGTGTCGGAGCCTTCCTCACCTCTTCCTCTCCTCTTCCTCTTCCTCTGCTCTTCTTTTCCTCTTCCTCTCCTCTTCCTCTCCTCTTCTTTTCCTCTTCCTCTCTTCATCCTCTCCTCTTCCTCTCCTCTTCCTCTCCTCTTCCTCTCCTCTTCCTCTCCTCTTCCTCTCCTCTTCCTCTCCTCTTCCTCTCCTCTTCCTCTCCTCTTCCTCTCCTCTTCCTCTGCTCTTCCCTCTTCTTTTCCTCTTCCTCTCCTCTTCCTCTCCTCTTCTTTTCCTCTTCCTCTCCTCTTCCTCTCCTCTTCCTCTCCTCTTCCTCTCCTCTTCCTCTCCTCTCCTCTTCCTCTCCTCTTCCTCTGCTCTTCCTCTGCTCTTCCTCTCCTCTTCTTTTCCTCTTCCTTTCTTCTTCTCTCCTCTTCCTCTCCTCTTCCTCTCCTCTTCCTCTCCTCTTCCTCTCCTCTTCCTCTCCTCTTCCTCTCCTCTTCCTCTCCTCTTCCTCTCCTCTTCCTCTCCTCTTCCTCTGCTCTTCTTTTCCTCTTCTTTTCCTCTTCCTCTCCTCTTCCTCTCCTCTTCTTTTCCTCTTCCTCTCCTCTTCCTCTCCTCTTCCTCTCCTCTTCCTCTCCTCTTCCTCTCCTCTCCTCTTCCTCTCCTCTTCCTCTGCTCTTCCTCTGCTCTTCCTCTCCTCTTCCTCTCCTCTTCCTCTCCTCTTCCTCTCCTCTTCCTCTCCTCTTCCTCTGCTCTTCTTTTCTTCTTCCTCTCCTGGAAAGTCGACTTTTGTAGTACAAACGTAGTACGCCGCGGACGCCCGGAGCTGCCGTGGCTGGAAAGTCGACTTTTTGCAGTACAAACGTAGTACGCCGCGGACGCCCGGAGCTGCCGTGGCTGGAAAATCGACTTTTTGTAGTACAAATGTAGTACGCCGCGGACGCCCGGAGCTGCCGTAGCTGGAAAGTCGACTTTTTGTAGTACAAACGTAGTACGCCGCGGACGCCAGGAGCTGCCGTAGCTGGAAAGTCGACTTTTTGTAGTACAAACGTAGTACTTGTAGTACAAACGTAGTATGCCGCGGACGCCCGGAGCTGCTGTGGCTGGAAAGTCGACTTTTTGTAGTACAAACGTAGTACGCCGCGGACGCCCGGAGCTGCCGTAGCTGGAAAGTCGACTTTTTGTAGTACAAACGTAGTACGCCGCGGACGCCCGGAGCTGCCGTGGCGCGAAAGTCGACTTTTCCCGAAAGCTTCAGCGAAGGGTTCTTCGGAGAAACAAAAACGTTAGCCCTACCACACTACCACACACTCGCACTACCACACACTCACACTACAATCACCACACTACAATCACCACACTACCATCACCACACTCCTACCACACACACACACACACACACACACACACACACACACACACACACACACACACACACACACACACACACACACACACACACACACACACACACACTACAATCACCACACTACCATCACCACACTCCAATCACCACACTCCACACATCACCTCCTCTATTAAATTCTCTCTTATTTCTTAAGCTGGGGTGGGTTTCGCCGCGGCCAGCGCGATGCACCACTCTGCGGGGATCGTGCGTGTCGGAACTCTAGGGCTTCGAAAACGTCGCAAATACCGTGGGCGCGGAACTCTGGGGCTTCGAAAACCTAGCAAATACCGTGGGCGCGGAACTCCGGGGCTTCGAAAACCTCGCAAACACCGTGGGCGCGGGCGCGAAACTCTGGGGCTTCGAAAACCTCACAAACACCGTGGGCGCGGAACTCTGGAGCTTCGAAAACCTCGCAAATACCGTGGGCGCGGAACTCTGGGGCTTCGACAACGTCCAAAATCCGTGGGCGCGGAACTCTGGGGCTTCGAAAACGTCGCAAATACCGTGGGCGCCTCTGGGGCGTCGAAAACCTCGCAAATACCGTGGGCGCGGAACTCTGGGGCTTCGAGAACGTCGCAAATACCGCGGGCGCGGAACTCTGGGGCTTCGAAAACGTCGCAAATACCGTGGGCGCGGAACTCTGGGGCTTCGAAAACGTTGCAAATACCGTGGGCGCGGAACTCTGGGGCTTCGAAAACGTCGCAAATACCATGGGCGCGGAACTCTGGGGCTTCGAAAACCTCACAAACACCGTGGGCGCGGAACTCTGGAGCTTCGAAAACCTCGCAAATACCGTGGGCGCGGAACTCTGGGGCTTCGACAACGTCGCAAATACCGTGGGCGCGGAACTCATGGGGCTTCGAAAACGTCGCAAATACCGTGGGCGCGGAACTCTGGGGCTTCGAAAACCTCGCAAATACCGTGGGCGCGGAACTCCGGGGCTTCGAAAACCTCGCAAACACCGTGGGCGCGGAACTCTGGAGCTTCGAAAACGGCGCAGCAAATAGCGCGACGGCTCTCGTGTGGGCGCGCAATCATTGCGGATGACATCTTGTCCTGCGCTCATGCAGAGCTATGCTTTGATCTGTTCACAACATGGCAGCAGGCGCCTCAGGCCATGTGGGACTTTTGCATGCTGGCATGTGTAATGTTGACTTCACATTAGTGGATCCACCCGCAATTGTAAAATCCCGCTGCCGGAACACAATAGTGTAGCCCGCCACAATTGTAAAATCCGACCCGGGAAATCCGGTTTTTACGGGCGTGGTGCTACTACCTAATACTAAAGCTAATACTACGTCCTACCAGGATTTAGGCGAACAGTATTGAGGAGGCCCTGGCCGGAGAGATTGATCAATGAAGGGGGGGGGGGGGTTTATTAATGCGAAGTCAACATTACGTGGTATCACCCCATTGCCGTCATCGCGCTACCATCGCCTCAGCTATATACGGCCTCTCTACACTGCCTATTCTATTCCATCTTCTTTGCGTTTCGCGTCCTTTTCGCTGTCGACGCGACACCTGCTTCCTATCCTACTACACCACACCACGATCACCGCACTGACAACACAACCAACTCTACGTGTCAGTTGATATCTTCGCACTGATTGCTTTCGGGATAATCGGTGTCTAGTTTTTAAGGCATTCTGCTAAACGACGAGCTCTGCCCCAACACGGGGCCGCCCCACAGAGGATCCAACGGTTCAGTTTCAAGGCAACGACCGAGGTGCTAGGCACTTTCGCTGCCGACTGGAAAGGGAAATGGGAAACGTAAATCGACTGCCACTGGAATGTACCTGAATGTCCGGAACAGACCGGAATTGGCCGAGAAGCTGAGTCTCCCCAGGTCAAGCCCAGCAGATTTGCAGCATCGCGACACGTCTTCAGCTGGTCTACCGACTCGGTGGGTGAAGGGCACTCCTCGAATGGAATCTTGGAAAAAAAGACAAGTCTGGAAAGTTCGGGTGATCTACGCCGTGATGTAACCTGTGGAAAAGTTCATGTTGCTTGTAAAGGACCTTCTGCAAACACACGTGCTGGACCGAGAAAATTCGTTGTGCATCTGCATCTATGTCTTCAGCCTTTGACCGCATCTATCAGACTCTATCACCGGAGCTTCTGGACCTCTGCTGAGCTACGTTGCTGCCCTTCTCAGCTGCGAAGAACGGAAGCGCCAGCTCGCACGCTCCTGTCCGGAGATTCTCGGAGAGTGGCGTCTCGTTCCATGTGGGAGCTTCAAATGCTCAAGAAGCCTGTGAGCAGACTAGTGACTAGTCATGAGAAGATGGAGTTGGCAAAAAAACAACCTGCCAGCCCTCAAGCTCCCAACAACGGACACCACGACAGCGCAGAAAAAAAGAAACTAGCTGCTCATAAGGCTCATCACAGGCTCTCAGAAGTCATGAATACCCTGCCTGTCTCGCTTTTTACATGTGTGGCTGGGCAGCTTCCGTCAGCTGTGGCGGGAGCATGGAGCCTTGGATACTTGCATGCACTGTGCATCAATGTGCCCACCCTCCCACCAGATCCCTCCAATTACTTTGTCTTCGCTAGCACAGGGCCCTGTCCAGAACCACAGACGCCATGCACACCATGCACACCCTAATCTCTGCAGGGTCGGCACACTACCATGTGTCACCAGAGACGCGTTCTAGAGTTCTACCAAGCCTGTCCACAGAACTCTCCAAGCGACGGCAAAATCTTGCAAAGCGGGAATGTGCCTCGGACAGCTGAACCTGTGGGCGACTTGTTGAAGTAAACGCCCTGGTAACGTCCTTACAGCTGCTCAAGAGTCGCTCTGAGATCTGTTGTGGTCCAGAGATGGGAATGGCGGTATGTGCCTTTGGTCTGCATGCCAGTGGCGAAAAGAGATCTTAGGTCAATACTTACTGAGTGCTGTACTCGTCTTTCGACATCTTTCGGGTATTCACGGCAGCCAGGAGACCCGCTGCGATCTCGTAGCATCCATGCGGCCAGTCTGCATCCTCCTCCTCCTCGATGTACGTCTGCCTCGACGAGTACCATCCCACGGACCCCTTGACGGCCGGACCGGTTCCCAACACTTCGACTCAGCATGTTCAGGTAGATTCTAGTGCAAGAAGTCGTGGGCCATTAAGGACCGCATCCATGCGGAGGCTATGAGGACATCTGCTCTTTGATGTTGAACTTCGGTTTCGAAGGACTCCACTTAATTACACTCGAAATCATAGGTCCAATTGTGATCCTTCTACAAACTAGACCACACATTCTGACAAGAGCGCTCTTCTCAGAGGCCCGGGCCCGAGGTACTCCGCGGCTCTTTTGCACGCAGACGCGGTCCTCAAGAGTTTTGCCGGCAAAGCCCGACAATTGCACTAAACCCTTCGGGGACCGTATTGGCCTGTATTAAAAAGCTGGGTCTTGCGAAGCGACTCTTTACGCCGAGAGGCTTCAGGTCTCCCAAATTGACGGGGCAGCGGGTGGAGTCCTCAGAGCCTGGAGATGGCATATGGGGGCATATGGGGGCCAGCAACCCGGCGAGTGCAAAGGGCAGGTTTGGCTTATGGCACTTGCCTCGGGCGTAGGGTGGCCGGGTGATATTGGCGAGCTTCAAGATCTCGGCTCCTCAGGCGAGGTGCTCAGTACCCTCGACCCAACTCCCGACAATCTGAATCGTAGGCTGTGAAGAACATGATTCGACACCGCCAAGCTGAGAAGGCCTTGCAGGGTGGACACAGACATGCACATGTTACGACCATTTTGAAGGGCGCCCAGCATTGACATTGCTCAGCCTTTGAGAAGCACCGCCAGCCACAGGAGCCCCACGTTAAGAGCTCCGAGCATCTCAATTTAGTCAGCCCTCTGTCGTACGACCTGTGGCCTGATGCTTCTGCTTTCATTTTCCTTAACAACTCCACATTCGCACATCAAGGGGCATAGCGCCTTGGGCGAGATGAGCGCATGAATACATGCAAATCCCACGCAAAGTCCTGGCACATCGCATGAGAGGCCGAAGATGCTGAAGCGCGGCTGGTTCTCCACGTTATCTGGGCACTCCGAGCCGTTGAGGTGCGGCAGGCCTCACCAAGAGGCCACAAGCCAAAAGTCAAAGCAGCGACATTCTGTGGCATGTGACGGGTGAAACCATGAACTAGTAAGCGCATTTCTGAACTGTTACAACCCTGTCCTGCCTGACGTTTCCAGCCACGTGTACTGGTATTGGGGGCAAATGGCCACGTCGTCGGTATATGCCACCGCATGGTGCGAAGACTCGTGTATAAATGTCTGGATCGCATCAGCAAGGAGCCCAAGGCGTTCTGCAACGACTGTCAGTATACAGACATATACCACAGGCTGGCCTTTCTGATTCCGTCGGAAGGCTCCTTGCAGGTCAGGAACACCATCGAAGGTAGATGGATACACAAATGCGAAGGTGCTGTCGTCACAGTCAGACGCATTGTAGAGAAACTCGGCCGTGTTCATCACATGCACGGCCGAGTTGAGCAGCCGAAGCACTTCGACACGAGTCTCGTTCAGAGAAGGTCCAGTGACTGCGTCATCTCCAAACCACTTCTGAAGATGAAGAACTGTCCTGTGCAGGCCTCGGCTGCTGCGACTGATCGCTCGATGTGCAAATACGCACGAATAGTGTCACTAACATGCACTGCAAGCCAAGCGGCGCAGGTTGCGAATTGCATTCATGATGAAGACCCGGGCGACCAAGTTGAACTTGGCCAACTTGTTCTGCCAGTCTTTGGGCTGCGCATCACTGCCAGCCAAGTAGGAGTTGAATGCACGCGGGTAGACTCTGAACATGTACAAGATGCGGAGGGCAAGCTCCTTGGCACAGGAAATGGCAGGTGCCCACAGCAGCAGCAGCAGCAGCAGCAATGGCAATGGCAACGGCCATGGCAATGGCAAGGGCAATGGCAAGGGCAATGGCAATGGCAATGGGCGGGGTGGGTCTGCCTAGGACAAGCACATCAGGCAACCTCGCAAATCCCAAAACCTGAAGCCTAGCATCAGAGCTGTAGGATTTCACCAGCACCTCAAAGGTGTGCTGGTACGGATCCTCAACCCGGACACTTCCACGCTGCCGCCGATGCTTGCCAACCGCCTTTCGCTTTGCAAATGGCTCCGCTTGGTCCGCTTGGTCCGGCCTCATTTTTCTCAAAGAAGGCCTCATTTGTCTCAAAGAAGGAATTTCGAAGCAGCTCGACGGAGCTCCAAGGAGCTCCAAGGAGTTTGAAGGAGCGAAGATTCGAGGCATCGCTTGGATTTTCGCACCAGGGGTCAAAAAAACAACGTGCGGTGCAACAGGGCAGGGGTCGAAAAAACAACCACAGGGGCCGAAAAACAAGGAGCCCATTTCACTTTGAAGCCAAGCTGCGCCGACTGCAAGTCCTCCTGTGTCTCAATCAGTGATTTGGGGTTTGGGTCTAAAGTTCGACTTCGGTACTGCGATATCTGCTGTCATGGATTAACACGTGTGGCATGTCGAGTCCAGTCTCGGGCGCCTGCAAATACCTGTCCCCATTCGCGGCTTCACACTTTGCACTTCGCTCGGACAACACGCCATTACAATGTGCACTCACGTCTGCTCGAATGCGGGTGTTCGCCCGCCCGCCCCCTGCACCCCCCAGTCCGAGTTCGCGAAGCGTGTGGCCAAAGTCTGCGGCGAAAGATCTTCACTGCAGATGTCATGACCTGACGAAGGTTGCAGCTATGAGACCTACAAGTGAAAGACTGGCTGTGTCAAGGACGTTGCTTGCTTCAAATCTTCCGGGCAAGCCGAACTTTTCTAGGGCACCGGCACCGGCTTTCTTCCATGCTTGTTCAAACCCGTTTGTTCCGAGCCTTGAGCATCCTGATAGCAGCCGATGTCTGGACCCGGAGGCATCACCACGTTCTGAGAGGCTAGGAACTGTACCGAAAGACGGCACAATTCAGCACCTGAGCGGCTGCAAGTGAGACTTATACTCCGGCTTGACAACCCTGCAGCGAAGAGGACCTCCAGCCCTACATGAGTTGCAGGTCGGCCCTGTGTGCGTGCATCCTGCACGACAATGTGCAGCATGCCAGCGTAACTCTGCACATTCATCAGCTGAATTTTCCCTTCCCTTCAGAGTCAGCCCTTCATCCCATGCGGTTGCTAGCGATCAAGCTCCAGTGAGGCGCAATGCACATGGCCTCCCTGCACAGCAGTCTTCTCCAGCTGCACTGCGTCAGCATATGCCTTTTCAAGACTACGCAACCTTTCAACCTCCAGACTTGAAGCTTGACAGCGTAGGCAGTTGTCTTTAGAATCTTTGGATACACGAAGCTTATTATGGCCTGGAAAGTGCTGGGCGCCACGGCTAGCAGCATGCGCAAGTCGGACAATGCGAGAGAGCTCCTGAGCCAATGGATTGCATGGGATTACTAGTTTCTAGTTCGCCGGGTTTCAGGCCACACAGCCCACGGAGCGGAAGCAAAGGGGCCTGCCGTCACCGGAGAGTAGTGAGCAGACGCCGTCGGCTTTGGAGCACAGCAAGCTGTGATCCGGATCCTGCGAAGTGGAAAAGCACAAAACAGCTCCCCCACCACATCGGCGTCGCGCCAGGCCTTGTCCCGGGAGGCCCGAGCCGCGTGCCGCTGGAGCGCCCGGAAAGCGCAGGAGCCCTCAGAGAGGGAAGAGAGCTGTGAGGAGGGTGTAGGGTTTAGGGAGAGAGGGGTTCCCCCGAGTGCTCCGTAGATATCTCCTTTGTGGGGACGCTCTGAGCGAAGAGAGGATCTCTTTGCCACGGGAAGAGTATGGCAATATTATAGAGGGGGGGCACCTTATGTGCACCACCAGGACCAAGCTCCGCAGGCTCGGCAGGCTCCGCAAGCGCCTCACACTCGCCGTCGGCCCCCAGAGCTTCCAGTGGCTCCAAGTCCTCCAGGTCGGCGAAGCAGAAGCCGACCACCAACCAGATCCATCGGAGCATTTGAGCGCCGCCTCCTTTTTCTGTTTTCTGTTTGGGGAAGTATGTACATGTGGGCCCACACGGCCTCGTCTCTCAAAGCCTCGAGCCGGAGCATATGGAGCACCACCTATGCTACAGCTCGCGGCTAGCTCATTCCCGACCAGGTCCGTGAGACTTGTGCGCATTTTTCGCTCTGCTGGATGAGCTCTGGTTGACAGCTTTAGAAACAACATTCCTCACGAGTGCTGCCCATCAGACTTGCATCTGTGACATTGGCGCCCACGCCAAAAGATGTGCAGTCCACCTCTTCTGCGCACCTTCATCAACACACACACACACACACACACTCGCCACACGCGGAAAACAAGCCTCTTCCAAGTGGGGGCACGGACCCCTGCTGCAAACAGGCCACAGTCGTTTGTCGTAGCACTCAGCATCTGTGCTGCCAAGCAATCCGACGACGGTCTTGCGCTTCCTTCGTGGCTTCAGGTGCTTTGCCACCCGTCTAGCCAAACTTGGTTTGGGGTTTAGGGTTTAGGGCTAGAGGCCTTGCTTTCAATTGGGACCACTGGATCCACTGAGCAACATCCCATGGCAGCCAAGATGCCATTTCGTGGGTGGCAGCTTTGTCTCGTAAGATTCACAATACCTTAGAACTCAGAAATTTGTGAAGAGCCGAAAAAAGAAAGCACTCTGCTTGTCAAGATGCTTCGGAAGGCAGCATTCGGCATCTGTGCTGCCTTGATAGTGGTGTTGATTGGTGTCTGCCTGGGGAAAAACCCGATCAAATTGGGCACAAATGGAAGGAGGAGTGGCATCCCTGCGCATGGCTGTCTTTGATGATCCCATGCCCTTTGTCTCAGCACGAAAAACTGTCAGACAGGTACTCCTCTCTTTGAAGCATTCGGATATTTGGAAAAGCTTGACTCCCAGTGGTGCCTTCTTGTACCACTTGGTTCCATGGCCGGTTCCCTGCGCATCCGTGCTGCAAGTGAAATCGGCCTGGGCAAAGCGAGCGCCATAAGGTGGACTTCAAAAACCCACATCACACCCCCTTCCCTTATCTGCTGACTTGTCTGGAGTTCAGATCATTGTATGTCGGACCAGGCACACAAAAATTTGCGTCGCAGCACTGTTGGATTGTGCTGCCCTGCAATCCGACAAGGGCCTGAAGCACTGAAACGTCAAATGCAGTTGCACTTGCGCTCGAGGCTCCAAGAGAAGCCCTAGACTTCTCCCTTTTTGACAGAGGCTTTTGAGTGATGAGCACAACAGGCCTCTGGTGATTTCGAGCGCCACTTGCCTTGCGGTAGGAACTTACACCATCCCGAAACCCGAAACATCCGGAAACCCCCCTGAAGCCGCATGTGTCGCATGATTTCGCATACCATCCTGCTCTCACCTCCTTGCCGCCGTGATTCTACCATCTGCCCGTTCGCAATCGATGGAATTCTCGCAAAAAATCTCCTGCTTTCTCGAACAGTGCTGAAACGCGCTTGGCGAAAGAATGTCAGCCACCATCTCCGATCGCCAGCCCAGAAGCACGGGTGCCCACCAGCCTCGCAGCAGGTCTCGTCGTCGAAGCCTTTCCTAAGACTTCCATCTTCCATCAGCGGCTTCTTGGACCACTTGGTGACATCACCTCCGCGAGGCAGCGCGATGCAAGATGCAGCCGTCACTCAGCCGACCAACGCAACTGCTTTCCAACAGACCATGAAAGGGGCCAAGGCGCTGCAGGTGTAGTCTTTGCATGACTTCAATTCACAGCACTCTGCGTCCGTGCTCCCTTAGCGTAGACCGCCCTTAAACTTCCGCCCGAAAAATAATACCCGAGTAGAGTTGTGCAACATGGCAGAACAAACGGACCATGAGGTCAGAGACGACGTCATCGGCGTCAGTCGACCGAATAAAGGTAGCTTTGTCCATGCCCATCCAAGCGTCCCAGCGCCAGGGAGAAGCTGCCGTCGGGAAGCTTTGGGACCATCTGCTTCGGATCTCAGTAGCAGACGTGCTTTTGAAGATTTGCTGGGTGGCTTGGGCCGTTCCAGTACTGTACAAGCTTGAGCGCTGAATGAGGTCAAGAATCCTTGGCAGGTGTGGTGCTGGCACATCAGGGGCTGGCAGCAAGCTTCGTTGCTTCCGCCCTGCAGCTTGGGAATGGCCTTCGACTTCCACTGGCTGGATGGAGAGCAAGTGAAGTCAGCCTCGGTGGAAAGAAAGATTCCCGAAGCAAGGTATCCACTACCGTCCTGCTTGGGCAGACGAATCAGGCGAGTGCGCAGAAGTTCTTCTCGCAGCCTAAGTAGGCTGTCGGAATCTATGCTGCTATTGAGCAAGAATACTGGGGGTGCAGGGGCCTTTTTGGGGATGCTCAGTGGGGACTTCCTTGCCCAGCTGCACTCGATGAAGGTGCTGCCCAACCCACTAGGAGATGTCTTGTTGCGCCATGCCAAGTTCGGGCTTTTGCTGCAGTCCTCTCGAAACACCGCAAGAGCAGCGCCAGCGCAGCGCGAGCACAGCACAAGCGCATGCACCCGCACAAGCGCTTCGCACAAGCCCTTCCCATCTCTTCCCATCCCTAGGCCGTCCAGGTCCGCGCACTTTGCCTCCTTGCAGCACTCGCTCACCGTACTTCCGCGCCGGGGCTTTCCTGACAGCACGATCCGGCAGGGAGTGACTGAGTTGCCCTGTCCACACATGTCAGCTGCCGAGCATCCATCTGCGTCATGTGTGAGTAGAGTGTATTGCGTCTCAGAGGGGCATTGGATCTCGTGGCAGAACCTTGGGCAATCTTGGGTGGGAAAGCCTACAGAACCCGTGAAGGGAATGTCCACGTCAAGATGATACACAGAGCGAAAAAAACCCAAGAAAGCCTTGAAGGGAATCTCCACATCAAGATGTTGCACAAGAACGAAGAGGTTAAGGCTAAAGGGTTTCCATGTCAAGATGTTGCAAAACGACGAAGAGGGCCCAAGCAACCCTTGAAAGGAATCTCCATGTCAAGATGTTGAAGAAGGAAATACCAGGGCCCTCTTGAAAAAGGGGCCCTCTGCGCAAAAGGTTGAGCTGAAGCTGCGCCGGCTCGCAGCATTCTTCCGCCGTGCTGCCCTGGAGGCCGGTGGCATTCTTGGCCTCTGGGCGAAAAACACTTGCCGCAGAAAGGTGGGGAGGGGGGAAAGGGGGAAGGGGGAGGGGGGGGGGGGGATTGTGGGATTGTGGAGCCTCACTTCTGTTCGCTGTCTCCACGCGCCTTGAAGCCTGGCCCACAAACCTTGGCATCGCAGAGCCGAGGTCGGCAGCATTGGTCTTTCGTGTAACCTGCGCGGGCTCACAGGCATGGAACGATGGGCACCGCAGCCGCAACCACAAAAGAGCGCAAAAAGAGAAACGGCGAACTTTAGGGACCTTTAAGCTGCTCGAAGTTGGGTTTCTGCTCCCAGGCTGTGCCGCTGCAGCCATCCACCTCGGGTGAACCAAAATTAAGACAAAGGAGCTACGAGGGAAAGCCTCGTGCGACTGGTTTCTTCGGCCTCCGCAGCATCCTTGCAGGTGATGGGCTCGCAGCACTCGAGCCTGGCAAAATGCGTCGACATGCTTCGTCGCATTCTCCCCTAAGTACTGTTACAACTTTCCTACCACACATACCAACATCACACGACCCGTGTCAAGACCCCATCATCCCTCTATCATCCCCCTAGCATCCCCCCGTATCATCCTTATCGTCCCCATCCCTGTCCTGCTGTTGCCAACAGTCTTGGGAGGCTTTGCCACCCAGCCCTGGCCACAGAACTCCTCGGCTTTGGGAGGCTGCTTCACGCTATGCCAACCAAGATCACATGGGCCCCCTTCATTGGAGGCTTGGTGCCAGCTGCACTTGTACTAAAAGGTCCTTCTCTTCGCATCGCCGCGGTCTGAGGCAGAAATTTTTGAATATCACCTCAGTCTCGGCATCGGCATAAACACAACAACAAACTTCCTGCGTCGTTGTTTCCTGCACGGTTCGCTGCTTGACCCTTGATGCCATAAACCGTATGCTTTTGCCAGGCAACGTCGCCGTTCAGAACCTGCAGGTTCCAGGAGATCCCGGTCATTGCACGCACAACATGTCACCACATATCATTCACAGAGGGTCTCAGGAGATCTGTGCAGACAGCATAGCCATAATTCGCCAAAATGGCATGGGATGGCACGAGTGGTGCCTGGGGCCCGTCCCGGTACTGGAAGCTTGCATCAGATGCGCCAGCTGCCACACGGCCAGTTGCTTCCAGCTCGGCACCTCGGGCCCCGTGGACGCTCGGCCCCGCTGATATAGCTGCCCCGCTGCCCCGCTGCCCCGCTGCCCTGCTATATCGCCAAGAGTCATATGCAGGGACGATACATACCGTATTCATTTTTTAGTGTCTTCAAGGGTAGTGTGGATATATGCGAACGATGTGCCCCCTTCACGCCAAACAAAAACACGAGCATAGCGCACGTGACCCTGCGACCATCTGCGACCCCAAGGTGCCGAAAACTTGCCCAAGCCAGGCACAATTTCTACAGCGTTCTCAACTTCGTGCCCAGACAGCGGAGTTTATCGGGACAGTGAGCGCATTAGCTTTGATAGCGCTCGTCCCTCAAATGCATCCATCGACCTGCTCGGCAAGCCGAGGATGGGTCGGAGACAGCTGGGACAAGTTGGGACGAGGACGCGTTGGGGCCAGCATTGGGGCCGCTCTCTACATCCTGGATGGGATCCACGTTGGTTCTGTGTGCAACGCGGCCAGACGTCGCAAACCGGTCAAAATGGATTTCGTAAAGAGCCACCGTGCCACGACGTGAGACGAGGCATGGCCACTCGCCACCCAACGCAGCTGAGCCTTGGAGTCAAGGTGCCGGAGCGTGCGAAAGCACAGTTGGCTGGCATCCTTGTCTACAAAGGTGTCATAAAAGGCGCTGACCTGCAGAACAACCTTCCGACCCACCGAGCCAGGGATGTCCATTTGTTGGAGATCTTCTGTGGACATAGCACAGAGGAGACCCCTGAGCAGGTCTTCAGCCTCCTTGGCATGTAGACCATCCCCTTCCAGGCAATCCAAAGCCACCTCCCCACGCAGAGCTCCCGAGATCAGCACCTCAGGATTGGCGGCGGGGAGGCAGGGAACCACGGCCAGGTCGTGGCGCCTCGCCAAAAACCCCATGCATGAAGCCATGGCCCCACCCCAAGAGATGCCAGTACAGCCCAGGTGAGCCCGAGGAAACTTCATCCGCAGCCAGTCCAAAACCTGCAGCGCCTCCAGCAAGAGGCTTGCATTCTGGTGGCAGAAATCGGTCACCTTGTCGACGTAATGCAGATTCTGTGCCTTGGGACGCCGCCCGCCATAGTACGCGGGAGTGATCAGCACTGAAGCCACACCCTCTTGGAGCAATGGGGCTGCCAGCATCATCTTGCGGTAGAAGTAGGACTGGTCTGCCGTCCCTGGGAACTGAACCACACATGCCCAGGGCTGTTGGTCCTTTGGCACCAAGAGCTCAAACTCGCAGAGCTTGCTTTCCTCAGGAAGGTAGCAGGCCCAGGGGCTTGGAAATTGCCCTCGGGAGCAGACACCCAAGCCGCCGAGGACAATGTTCTCTGGGCCCATGGACATGGTAGGCGATCCGATGCCTTGCGCATACTCAAGCATAAAGCTGTCCAAGAGGGCGCGCCCATCCTGGACCGTTTGTAGATCTCCCCAGCCGCTCGTGAAGAAGCGATGCTGCGTAAAGGGCTTCAGGTGTGCACCCAATCCAAGTGCTGCGTCCAGCAACCCACAGGCACGGCCCACAGTGGCGGCAGACCACTGGAACGATGGCTCCTGATGTTGCATCCCCTCAATTTGCTACGAGTAGCTGAGTAGCACCCAGTACCGGGTTCCTGAAGCGGCTCAGCCCTGGCGTTGGCTTTTGAGCCGAAAGCCACGGGTGATTGAAACGTCATTGCTCCCTGAGAGAGTGCAAAGGTTGGAATAAGCATAGCTCATTTAGGGCAGGATCTCAAGTGGCCTGCTGCTTCGGCCGGGACAGTGATCATCAAGAACCCACCGCTGCCGGCAAAGCCAAACTTTACTGGCTCCTTGATGGTGCTGTTCACCTGGCATGCTCAGGAGCCCATTGGCCAAGAGGCGAAAAATCGTGAAGGCCAAATTCTTCTTTTCCAGCAGACCCTCACTCAAGCAAATACCTTCCACCAGCACACCACGTGCTGGAGAACAGGAGAGGAATCCCCAGCATCCCCATACTATTCCCAAGAGAGGGAACCCTCTCAAGAGAGATGCGCATCATCTGCATCTCATCATGGCAATGGGCATCGCTCGTCTTCTCTACTGCCGAGGACCCGGCCGTCACGCTGAGATGCCACGCCACGGGCACTGCCCAGTCTGCTGCTGTCTTCAATCCTTCCTGCGCACCCCCCGTGCTGAAGAACTCAGAGGATGGCCCACTGCAACGCGCTGTGGCACCAAGTGCACGGAGTGTCAGCCAGCAAGCATGGCAGTTTAAAGACGCGCGAACATTGCAATCACTACACCATGTCTACAGCCTGGCAGCTATACACATTTATACATATACACAATAAAGATATAGATATATATATATATATATGCACGAGCGGCTGACAATTGCACATCAGCACCGGGAAGGCGAGGAAAAGAGAGAGACAGAGAGAGACAGAGAGAGACAGAGAGAGACAGAGAGAGACAGAGAGAGAGAGTGAGAGCGAGAGAGAGAGAGAGAGGGATAGATAGAGAGATAGAGAGAGGGAGAGAGAGCCACAGACACACACAGACAGACACACACACACACACACACCCACGCACACACACACACACACACACATACACGCAGAAACACACACGCAGAAACACACACGCAGAAACACACACGCAGAAACACACACACACACACACACACACACACACACACACACACACACACACACACATGCACACATGCACATGTGCACACATGCACACATGAACATGTGCGAAGAACCATGACGCCAATCTGAGTACGGTTTTTCCTGGCCTGAAAGGCTGCCAAGTCCACCTTATTGAACAAGTCTTCCCCGCGTGAAAGGCCGGTGGCGTGGTAGTCACCATCCGCATCCAAAGGAAACTGCGCAAGGCCAACAGTCTGAGGGCATCGGGAGTATCCGAGGTCTGCTGTGACATGGTAGGCATCGAGATCTTGGCAAGTCTTGCAAATCAGGTCGGCCTGGTTCCCGCTGCACCTTGGGCAATCCGAGGGCGAGAGAAGCAGGCGTAGGGCTTCGGGTTAAGCAAGCGGGGCTTCGGGGTTGAGACGAAGCTGCCCGGTCCCGGAGGTGAAAATACTGCGAACACATCTTTGATTCCAACAAACTTGAGGTGTGTTTAGCGTGTGTACTTATTCTCTTCCCCCTGAGGTCTCGGCACAGAGTCACGGGCCCCTCGAAGCTTCGCCGAAGAAACGACTCGAAGGCAAAGGAGGAGCAGTGACCACGCTGGCCATGCTCGGTGCTTCATTGCCTTGGACAAAGCCGAAAGCTGGGGGCCGCCACATCCCCGAACGTACCAGAACCCACCACCTCAATTGGGGTCGGCACGGCTGAGGCCATGACGGCTTCACGGCTCGGTACTAATGCATTGAACTAAAGCAGCACTGAATGCTCAGACAAATCACTTCTTCCACCCAGTGAAAATCATGTGAACCGCCTTGTTACCTTTGTATCCGCCGACCACCACACGGCTGAGCCATATTCAGCGGCATCGAATGCAAACCCCACCATGTTGCGGACATATTGGACATGCTATGTTGGAGCCCCCGAGCCCCTCTCTCTCTCTCCCCTCTCTCTCTCGAGAAACTATCCATCATCCGAGATCCGGCTGTACACCTTTTTGCGGTGTGCACACGGTGGGGGCGGTAAGCCTGAGCCTAGCCATAGCAACCAACCAGGGGACCACACTGGCAACAATGCCTTTCCACTGCGGCTACGAGCTTCGCCGCTGCTGAACTGTTGGCAGTTGGAAGATCCCGACTTTTGAATTCACATGCTCTTCCTTCCACAAGCTGTGCCCCAGCACCTTTTGCGATCTCCCTTTGGGATGTGTCGGCTACATGCATGATCCCTAACTCTCTGCCACGCAATGTGTAAGGAACAGCACACAGGAGCATACTCTGTAACGAAAGAAGCTCTCAAAGGAAGCTCGGGCAAGCTCGGCTCTCAGTTTTCCTTCTTGCTGTCAGCCTGCGAGGGCCACTGCAGGGCGCGTCGCTAAGAAGGCACCGCAACGGTCGATTCTACTTTGCAACAACTGTCCTCTCACTGCTTGTATTTTTTCCATCCGAAACCCTCCCTCTGACTACTGGCGCCGCCGGTCCTGCAGCGTTGGCAGGTCGTCCATATCATCGATACCATCCTGCATGGTAATCACTGCTATTCATCCAGCCAGGGCAGTGTTGCAATTGAGGGCTAAGGCTCCTCCACCGGCCAGTGGCCACCTTTTCTGGCTGCTGGGGCCTTCTCCTTCGACATTGGCACTCGCCACTCTGCCGGGACAGTTCATGCGGGGCAGGCTAGCCACGTCGCCATTCAAAGCTACGGAGCAGGCCTGTACCATTCTGGAAGCCTATAAGTACTTGAAAAGACGCCGGGGCACTTTTCATTCAAGCACCGAAGAATCCGACAAGCCTGCGTGCCAAAGGGTAATAGTGGCGGTCTCACTGACGATAGGCAACAGTGACACTTAGACAAGTAACCTGGGCCCAAGCCACTAGCCTTCAATCCGTGATAGTGAGCGGTCAAGAGAATTCTCTGGCCATGCCAGAGAATAAAAAAGTCTCTGCACAAATTCAAACCCTGGATCTAGCGGTGAACCTTGCGTTCCATCGTGCTGAGGGGGCTCCTGCTTTGTCCAAACTTCGCCGCTGGACCACCGTACGGTGTTCCCTTCGCAGGCTTCCAAGGAAATCCTGAAGGGGCAAGAATCTGCCAATCCACTTCCCTTCCAGGACTGAGCTCTTTAAGTCCTTTAGCGTTGTGGACAATGTCTGACTCGATTTCTGATTCAAGGTGCCAAACCAGAAACCGGTTGCAGGCATGGGCATTGCATGGTGGCATTGCGTGGGCGCCCGACCCCAGGAGCCGGACAGCGCCTGCTTCGTGTCTGAGCCTCGAAACAGCGCGAATGGCCCTTGGAGCATCTTGCATCTGCAAGAATCACTGACCAGCCGCCCCTTTCTTCAATTTGACTTATTCCACTTGGGCCATGATCGAAACCCAGCCATCTCGTGCAACCTGCCGCTAGACCGTGCACATCATGAGCACGGAGCCCGACAGTCAGCTCGTGAGCCAAATACAGATACACGCTTACCACGGAGAAAGGTGTAGAGCCCAAAGGAAAGCCTTCAGAACAAGATGGAGCGCTTTGTGCGTCAAATACGCCAGGCAGGACCGGGCCGAGTGCGCGCCCCATCGCGCCCCTGCGTGGTGGCTAAAGCTCCGAGATGCTTTCCAACATGCCTTGCCATGCCTTGTTTGGACGCAGTTTCAAAGGAGGGGAAAGGACTGGGAACAATTTCGGGCATCACTCCCCACAGGCCAGTCGCACATGAACTAAACATGTTCCCCCAATGGTCGAAGGCCCACTCCGACCACTCGCGTATACCCACTGACGCACTCGAGCACTCACCCGAGCACTCACACCATCCCTGTACCCCAACGCAAGCTGAAAAAAACATGCGAGGCGTCCCAACACCGTGATGCTAAGCTCTAGATTCTAGATGGCGTTGGCATGCGTGCTTTAGAAAACCAACAATCTGCCCGGTTTCTGGCCCTTCTTGTCATCAAACAAGCTCAACCCACTGAGAGTCCAAGCGAGCGAAGCTTGTCGCAATGGTAAAATATAATATATATATATATACACATATACATATATACATATATACATATATACATATATACATATCTACATATATACTTATGTATATATACATATATGTCTCGACACAACTACTTCTCACGCCCATAGAAAAACTGCAGACTTGCATGGCCGACATGGCCGACTCTCCTTAAATCAACGGTCTGGGAGTCTCCACGCAATTCTCAGCCCCGGGCACGAAGGGCATGTGCGAGGTGGTGACGCGAGCCACCAGACCCCTGACAGCCTAGAGTCGCGAGCTTTGCGATCCGCCTGTAAGGTCTACTAGAGTAACCACCTCAGAACTCGTCTCCCAACTCCTCTCCGGTTTCCTGAAGATTATTTCCACCATTTCAGGCAGCAGTATTGTGCAAGCGGTTGTAGGCCACAGGCGCTATACGGCGCATAATGTCTCATAAGCTGCCACTCTGCAAGCTCGGCCAGCGTTTAGCGCTGCGTCTTGCAGGGGAGCAGAAGCCGGAATGCAGGCATCTGCAGATGGGCTGTATTGCGTATATTTGATGCTTCTTGTTCGTGACGAAGGGGGGAGCAACACCACGCAAACTCTTAACGCCTGCATTCGGACTCCCCAGGTTTGACAGGAAGCACAGCGGACCGCCTCCCTCCTGTCCTGTGCCCCTTCGCGGATCCGAGAAATATGTCTGGGATCTTTTTTTGCCTCCTGATTTCTCTTGAGTCCGCTGCCTTTTTCTTTGGGGCCCTTTGCGAACACGTCAGCTTTTGGTCACTGCGGACTTCAAGGACACCCTCAGGACAGCAAAGTTCGAAGGTATTCAAAAATGACTCTCAAGTCTCAAGTTCAAACGGTTTTAGACATCTTTGCGCGGTTGCTTGTTGACCCCGGCCAGAGGCCTAAGCCTAAGCGGCCTAAGCCAGTGCATCGGAGTCAATTGAAACGGACTGAAGAGCAACAGTTCCTCTAGCAGAGGGGTTGAAGGTGGGCCGCTCTTCTTTTGTTGTAACAGGTGAGAAAACCCCACAGCCCCACGGAGTTTCCTTGAAATCTGAAACGGGCAACTGCGCATGACCTAAAAGTCCAAAAGGGTCCAAAAGGGGCCAGCAACCAGGGGACGGCTTGCAGGATGTCGCAGGATGTTGTGCTTGGGCGGGGATGCTGGCCCGCGAATCTCAGTTAAATGCCGGGAGCATTCTGCAGCGACTGACTGCCTTCGCTCAGGGTCCAAGGCCTCATGGAAACTTCGGAAGGCAAATCGGTGGTTGGGCTGAGCTCGCGTCTGAGCTTTAGCCTTACACTCGGGTACATGCTCTTTACGAGGCTCTGGATCGCAGGTGGGACCCCTTTCACCGGCGGAACCATAGAAACAAGTTGCAGCATCTAAGCGTGACCTCCATCGTCATCCGAAAACACGAACAGGCGCATCTCAACGCTGCTTCCCGATGCTTCTGAGCCCTGTGGAGTCTGCACGCTTGAGGAGGGCCCAAAACGCCCCAAGAGCTTTCAGCTGTTCAAATATGCACAACAGGGCTCAGGCCCAGCCTCTCCAAGCTGCGAAAACATTGTAGTCAACTGAATTGTACTATGGCAGCTGGGGTGAGGCACCCCAACGGCAACGCTTTTTCAATATCACAAAGTCGCCCCAATGATGCAGCGATACAGAACCAGAATTCCAGCTCTCCTTACCGGAGCCGTCACACACAGGAACTGCCAGCTCGTGGTACGTTTCTGAGGGTGGAAGGTGGGAGGCTTGCACTTCTTTAAAAATACAACTTCTTCGAGCTGCGGTGTCACGCACTGCCAGATGAAAGCTCGGCTTCGGAAGCCTTCAGCAGCACCGCGATATGACCGGTTGTTTCTGGGCTAAGATGCACGCACAAAAATGAAACGGGGTGGCGTACGACCCCATCTTCACACAGCGATCTGACAGCCGTGATACGTAAGCTCCTGAAATATCCTGAAGCGTCCCAACTAAGGTGCCAAACGTGCAGCTGTTCAAGGACCCGCTGCGTCACCCCTACATTGCTGCGCTTCAATAGAAGCAAAGGCAGCCTACAGGCTTGTGTAAAGAGCTTCAAACGAAGGCCTCTCAGTCATCGTCTTCGTCTTATTCGTGTCTCACCAGATTAGAAAGGGATTACACAGGTTTGACGAATAGGCCGTAGCTCACTCTCTTTTTGGGAACGGCTCTTCCAAGCCAACCTCTCACGTGGTGCGTGCCAGACCTGACAGTCTCAGGATGTGGCTGACATGAAACAAGACCAGACCCGGGCAGAATCCCCGTACCCCACAATGCCCATCTTGGGAGATGCCGACAAGTGGACAAGAGCAAAAAGACGGAAGAGTACCCATCTCCACCTTTCGTTGGTCCTGTTGTGCGCCGCCAAGCGGTTTAAGCCTCAGAGAATTTCTTTCACTTCTTGAGGTGTTCACAAGGAGGGGTGGCCTTGCAACATTCCACCATATTCCACCTTTCTACCTTTCCCTTGATGGCCCCCTACGCTGCTTCCAAGCGACGAGCCAGGGGTGCTGGAGCGCTTCCGCGCTGCCCAGGCGCTGCAATGGATCTCGACACAAGAGACCGGCCAGCAAATCGCGGGCGCCTGCGACTCGGG